CATGATGGGTCTCTCTTCAGCTTGCGCTCGCCCCCCAAGTCTGAGTTTGGATCAGGATATAAAGTCTCGAGCCTCAACCTTCATCGCGGGGTTCGCGATTTTGGCAAGTCTTATCTTCCTACCTGATAAGCTCAGAATGTTGCTGATGTCATACTTTGTGGAAGAGGCTTAGATTACCACACTCATATTCCCGTGGACTTCGAACCGCCCAACTTTTTGAACAGCCTATTTCGGATAAGCTTCATCTCCTCACTGAATCATAGTTCCAACGGCGCGGTAACATCCGTGACCTAGAGTTGCTGCTAATTCTCCACCCGAGTTGCCGGCTCGACGGTCAGATAGTGTGGGACGAAGTTTAATGGTTCTCGCTATTCACCCATGTTTAAGCCAAAGGCGCTCCACCGTGCGGCTTGATATTCCGTTAGTGTATGGTTCAAGATCTGTTTTCTTTGGACGATGCAATATCCATGCCAAAATGGGAGTACACCTGAATGACTTTCCATTTCGGCTCCGAGATCTTAAGTCGTTGGTAAATGGAGACCGAGCATACCATCTCCGAGCCATTTCCTGTCTCGGATGGCAACGCGAACATTGGCCTTCTCTCATGGCCAAGACGAGGCCAAGCCGTCAGATATGGAGCCTCAAAGCTTCGGCTTCCACACCGGAGGCGCGCTAGAGGCGGGTAAAGGTGATTGAGGCTGATCATTTACAATCCAAGAGTGCGGTACGATACCCTCCGTAACAGGCATCAACAAAATTAACGCTCTCAAGGATTTCTGCATGCATTCGATTCCCGGGGCCCGAAATTTGGAGGAACCATGGTACTTTTGCACGAGATAGAGATTTAAGATATGGGAATCTAGAGTAGCATTAACTACGTAATGAAGCCTTATACCTCAACTAAGCAGCGCCATACTCGGGAGAAGACGAGGACCGTACTCGGCTGAGTGACTTCGATAGGTGGACTGTTCTTGACGGTCCGTCATTCCGCTCGATGCTCCGTGGGCCCACGGCCCCACTACCGGCAGTATGAAGCCGCAAAACAGGCATGTCCTGACTAGAAAAAGGGGGCCAAAAAGTAAATTAGACTAAGGGGGAAGATTGAGGGATGGGATAAAGAGAACTCAACTCTGTTTTCTCGTCAGACATAGTGATTCCTCAGGCGCAGCTGCAAGCATTACGGTCAAGGTCTGGTCGCATTTCGTTGCGGTTGAATCTGAAAGTGGTGAGCCAAGACCCAAGGGCATTGTCAACTTTGACCGGATGTCGGCGGTTCAGCACCCCACGTTGGTGACTGTGCACGATGGTGGACCGAGTTCCTATTGAGAGAGATTGAGGCAAATACTATTAATCGCAGTGCGGACGGAGCAAACTAGGACGCATTGCTGTTGAGCTGGGATTGAAAAATTTCTCCCCACGCCAGTTTGCCGAACAAGCTACTCTTCATCGATAACTTGCCACGCTTGCTAGTCTAACTGAGACTACCACTACGTCTGCCGCATATAAGTTGATTGTTGGGGTAAGTTGACGCCGTCACACCCGCGTCAGTAGCTTCGGTAATGCTCAATAAATGCCGTGTCCTCCGGTGCAAGCAGGGGCGGCGGATATTACTCGTCCAATCGCATGGAGACGCTTCTCCCAAACGGAGGGCGGTGGGAGATATTCCGCCCGGGTGCCCCTTGCATAGACCCCAACTTGGCTTTGCTTGACTTTGCGGAGAAGACCCACGATGTCACCTTACGACGGGTTGCGGCAAACATGTGCTGTGCTAACTCGCTCAACCGACTCCCTAACCCCGCGTCACCAGCCCTTTGGACCTTGTGGTAATTAATCAATGTGTTGCAGACGGCTGCCACGAAAGAACTAAGAGAGCCAAGTTGCGCCCCTCCCGGATCAAGCTTCGCCCAGCAGGCTTGGTCTGCCTTGGTCTCTCTGAGTCTCCGTGTAATTGACTCTGGCCACGTTCGTCCAATCCCACCTGCCCTGAGGCCCTCAATACAGACTTAGGCAAGGCGGGAAGACATCCGATCTTGCCTATCCAGGCCCACTAGACAATCATCAACTCTCCAATGATCGATGCATCCCGGGTTACTGTTCCCAATTGATGCATCACGACTCACTCCGAGCCGCTCGCAGGAGCTCCCAAGCCCCTAGACGGAAATTAAGCAGTTTGGAAGGAAGTGGAAAGAGGAGGGGCTAAGCGCAACCACATCATGATAGTTTAACCTTGAACGGGGGATCGAAACAGTATGTGAGAGTCTATATAATGTGTCCGAGGCCATCCGCACACTTTTGGCTTTCATCTCCTCATCCCAAGCCACTCGCGACATTCTTTTCCGGCACTCCAATTCATTCTTTTCATGTTCAGACCCGTCTGATCATCTTTACACACTCTTTTCTCTCATCCGTTCTTTATCGACTTGACGTCCGAAGATATCTCATCAACACCATGTTGACCAAGGTTTCTGCCCTCACGGCCCTCGTGGCCGCTGTTCGCGCGCAGCAGGTCTGCACGCTCAACGCGGAGACCAAGCCTGCACTTACCTGGTCCAACTGCGCGGCCGGCGGCGCCTGCACCAAGGTCGACGGATCCGTCACCGTGGATGCCAACTGGCGCTGGACTCACAAGACCGACGGCAGCACCAACTGCTACACGGGCAACAAGTGGGACACCTCCATCTGCACCACCGGCGAGGACTGTGCCTCCAAGTGCTGCTTGGACGGAGCCGACTACTCCGGCACCTACGGCGCCACCACCAGCGGCGATGCCCTCAACCTCAAGTTTGTCCAGCAGGGCCCCTACAGCAAGAACATTGGTTCTCGCATGTTCCTCATGGACGGAACAGATAAGTACCAAATGTTCAAGCTCTTAGGCCAGGAGTTCACCTTTGACGTTGATGTCTCCAACCTTGGTGTAAGTGAAAGCCTCAACTTCGTCTGAAGAATGTGTAGAGAAGCAGCTTGACTAACAAGTCGATCATAGTGCGGTCTGAACGGCGCCTTGTACTTCGTCTCCATGGACGCTGATGGCGGCATGTCCAAGTTCCCTACCAACAAGGCTGGTGCCTCCCATGGAACCGGCTACTGCGACAGCCAGTGCCCCCGCGACCTCAAGTTCATCGACGGCAAGGCCAACGTCGAGGGCTGGGTGCCTTCCTCCAACGATGCTAACGCCGGCGTCGGAAACATGGGCTCGTGCTGCTCCGAGATGGACATCTGGGAGGCCAACTCCGTCTCCACCGCCTACACCCCTCACCCCTGCGAGACGGTCGGCCAGCTGAGCTGCAACGGCGACGCCTGCGGAGGCACCTACAGCTCTACCCGCTACGCCGGCCAGTGCGACCCCGACGGATGCGACTTCAACAGCTACCGCCAGGGTAACACCACCTTCTACGGTAAGGGCTCCCAGTTCGCCATCGACACCTCCAAGAAGATCACCGTCGTCACGCAGTTCGTCGAGACCGGCGGCGCCCTCACCGACATCAAGCGCTTCTACGTCCAGGACGGCAAGGTCTTTGCCAACTCCAAGTCCGACATCACCGGCGTCGAGGGCAACTCCATCACCACGGACTACTGCACCGCCCAGAAGAAGGCTTTCGGCGATGAGGACGTCTTTGCGCAGAAGGGCGGTCTTGCGCAGATGGGCAAGGCTCTCTCTGAGGGTATGGTTCTCGTCATGTCTGTCTGGGATGACCACCACTCCAACATGCTCTGGCTGGACTCCACCTACCCTACCAACGAGACCGGCCCCGGCACCGCTCGCGGCACTTGCGGCACCGACTCTGGCGTTCCCGCCGATGTCGAGTCCCAGGCCCCCAACTCGAACGTCATCTTCTCCAACATCAAGGTCGGCCCCATCGGCTCTACCTTCAACAGCGCCGGAACTGCTGTAAGTACCACTATATAGATCTCTCTCATTGCTATTGCTAATCATACGTGTGTTTCAGTAAGTTGTTGAGACTTGACATTCACGGCCGTCGTCACTTCTACCACAACTTCATCTCTCATGTGGTTTTGAAGTGAATGTTGATCTATGTATCGAGATGAGCGTGGCATATATCCTTCTTTCGGTTGTACATGTTTTCTAGACATTTCAGTGTATATAAATTGGGCATGGGTCTGACCCTTGCAGACAAGTGCAAGAGAAATTGGCTTACAAAAGTCTTTAGCTAACCATTTTACTTGACATATGCTGCCTATTGCCTTGAATGTGGATGTCTGCCATGCTCTTACGTCGGCCAAACAATAGAAAAGATAATCCCATGACTTGAGTGAATCTCCTTTCTCCCGCCCAAAGGTCGGGATGTGGATACACCTTGAGCCTGTGCTGTAATTGTGCCATGAAGGCAAGATAAAAAACATACATATAGCATCTCTCGGTACACTCACGGAGAAATGCCTAATAGATTTCGCTTACCCATTTGGCGTTTTTTTACAACTTTGGTGTTGTTAACCGTGTTTTCCATGCCTTGGGCTTTAACTAGGTTTCCTGCCCGATAACTAGCATTTCTCGACAGGACAATGAGTCATAGACCGAATGTGTGTACTCAACATCTTGTGTGTATGGTCTCGTGCCCACACAATACGTTATGACAGGCTTATGATTTGGTCTAAGTTCCGTTGATGTTTGATGGAAAATTTCCCTTGCAGATATCATAGACTTGACTCCCTCTCAAACATGTCCCGTCGCTTTGCTCAGCGCAACCTGGCGAGAAATGAGTCGAATTGGTAGCGCATCATGACACAGGACACCACAGTGGATCTGCGGTCTCCAATGACTGATTCACAGGGCAAATCCCGCCGAGACGCTAACCCCAAACTGTGTCCGAGTCTCTGTTGCAGGCCATTTATAGATGCTGGGGAGCTCCCGCGACTTCGCAGGTGTTCCGAAACTTCAGTTTTTATAATCTCAAAACCTCATTCCGGCGCGGGGTCTCCGCATTTAAGAGCTTCAATAAGGACACATTTCAGCGACAGCCACTGCACACAGGAACTTCATCATGGCCGATAAAACAAAAGGAAGCGCTACGGCTCGTAAGCCAGTGTTCTTTTTGTAAGCTCAATACCTAACTAATTCTAAGAGCTGAGATGCCCAAAAAATAGTTGCATACTGACTCGTCAGGGAACAGCGACATCGACAACTGTCTGTACTCTAGAAGTCAGTCGACCAATTCTTCCGCGCACCAGAATTCTGGGCAGCTCAAATGGACTCACTAGCGTTCTTCTTTAGGTCACAGAATCCACAACCTCATGGCAAAGCTTATCGAGCAGTATTTTGAGACCCACTTATCACTGGGAGAGGAGGAAGCCTCCAGATTGACGAGAGAATACTACAAGACATACGGCCTGGCAATCGAAGGCTTAGTCCGCCATCATGAAATAGACCCATTGGACTTCAACGCAAAGGTGGATGACGCGTTGCCTCTCGACGACATCCTAAAGCCCGATGCAGACCTCCGAGCGCTGTTGGAGGATATCGACACCAGCAAAGTCAAACTCTGGCTCTTCACGAATGCCTACGTCAACCACGGAAAGCGGGTTGTGCGACTTCTTGGAATCGATGACCTATTTGATGGTCTGACCTACTGCGACTACGCCCAGTACCCATTCGTCTGCAAACCAGCCAAGGAGATGTTCCGCAGGGCCATGGAACAGGCAGGGGTTGAAAACCCGGGAGACTGTTACTTTGTTGGTAAGCTCTTGACTCCCAAAACCTTTGGCATGGTGGATGCACCGCTGGTCTCAGTTCGTGAATAGATGACTTGTACTAAAACCTGCAGATGATTCCTACGATAATTGCAAGAGCGCGAAAGAGCTCGGATGGACGGCCGCCCATCTCGTCGAAGAAGGGTTGCCTATTCCCGAGACACAGGCTTCCCAATTCCAAATTCGTCATATAAGAGAGCTTCGTGACGTTTACCCTCAATTCTTCAGGTCCAGCGCCTTGAAAAATTAGATGAGACACAAAGATGATGCTTCCGCGGGTCACATAAAAAGAAAATGACTAGAATCTAGACAAACCACAGACGCCGAGACTAAGGCACGATTCCCCGGTAAATGGTTGACATCGTTGACAACAACAAATTGCGCGCTGTGAAATAAAATTGCTTTTCAAAGGATGGGTGGAGGATGGGTGGAGGATGGGTAAACTCAAATGCCCCCATTGCGACTTGGTCTCAAGCAATAGCAAATAGCGGTGCTTCAACCACGAGATCTACAATCTAGAGATCGATGGTCATGTGGACGGACAACTCAAAAGAATGGTACCAATCGTGGTGAACATATTGTAGAACTCAGTTTTGGGAAAGGCCAGGTGTGATTAAGTTACTTAGCCCGATATGTCTTCCGTAACAGAACATATGCTGCCTGGAGATTTAATGTATCTGTTGCATGTTTGACTGCTATCCGATTTAGTACAGCATGCATAAGGCTTCACCCACCTTTATGCATACGTCGCCTTTATTTAACGGATATCCCTTGCATATTAGCAGAGGGGCTTGTGGTGGATCTCTTTTCGCAGGCAGCTCCACGTGGAACAGTCTATAGTCCACTAAAGAGGTCGAATTCTCCACAATCAGTTAGTCACCTTGCCAGAGTGGTTAATGGGCTGGCCTGCTAGTTTGGGATTTCTATCCTGGAGAGTTGATAGCCAGTGGCTTCGGTCGCGCAGGTTCGAATCCTGTGGGTGACGACAATATCTTTTGCCTTTTTTACGACCATTTCGTGGCTACTTTTTTGCGCCGCCTACAAGATTACACACACGTTTGTGTGAATGCAACGGTCTTCTGTTTCCTGGACTCATGCCGCAAAGTGTGCTTGTCGCGCCTGTCCGAGCTGTGTTGAAGAGACGTGATTTACTAAACCTACCCGTAGACAACGTGTAAAATGTATTCGATGAATGCACAATGATGAAGTCAGATTGAACCGACATGTCAGCTCCATTGAAGAAGACTCAATCACAAACAAGCAAGCTGGGCCAGACATCGATTGTTTTCCGCTGGAAGCAAGCGCACACCTTAGGCAATTGGACCCCTAAAGTGGCGCATCTCTCTCTAGCTGGGTTCCCCGGCCCTGTTGCTCGTGTTCTATTGCGCCATGCTTCCCGCCCACGCCGTCCAAAATGGAGACACTCTTAGCAGGACCATCTGACGTGTGAGGGTGCTCGCTGCCGCTGAAACGTTACCGTGATGGACATAAGAGAAGCCAAGTCCGGCGGTTCTCGTCGTTCTCGTCATCTTGTGGGCTCGTTTACTTGCAGCGAGCCGAGGCGAAGAAAAGAAAACTCCCTAATACTACTGCGCAGTGCCTCAAACGGACCAATGCCATCATCTCTAGTATGGCTCCTTGCAAGAGATATACGAGCCTTTGTCATCCTCCAATTCACCAATGTTGTTTTTATTTATAAAGATCGACCCGATCAGCGTCGAGCACTTGGCCAAAGTTTGATTAGTGTCCTGCAGCTTCGCCCTGTGGCCCACCCCCTTTCCCCGATTATGGCATTCTCCCCAGAATTTCCCGGCACCCGACGCCCCGGCAAGTTACCTCCTCCTCGCACTTCGAGGCAAATATAGTGACTTGTTGGTCGCGGCGGACGCCGTGGAAACGGCGGTGACTACCAAGAATAGACCGAATAGGAACATTTCTAGAGTACTGAGTACTACCTTACTGCTCACATCATGCACCAGGCCCAACTGTCCAGTCCGTTTACCCGTGCCATCGATCATGCTCTAAGACATTGCTTCGATGGCGACACGAGCCGCAGCGCCACCCGCTTGAGTCGGAGCCGTGCATTCGGCTGGCACGGGTGACCCGGGACCGCCCAACGATGTCATGCCCAGGCGACTTTCGCCTACGGAGATATTCTTTGGGGATCCTGACGTCGCCTCGTACGAAAATAGACATGGGAGTACAGACGACAAGGGTCTCTGGCAACGTTCATTTGACGTTTGTGATGGAAATGCTTAAAAACATCAGACAAACCCCTTCTCGCCTACTTCATTCCCTTCTCCCTACAGTCAGACATACTCTAAGCAACTTTACTTCCGATATATCCAAACATCGCAGCTACCCTGTACGATCTAATCAACTAAACTTAATACAAACATCTACCCAGTTTCTCAAGATGCAGTTCCGCGCTTCTCTCGCTGCCGCCGCCGGCCTCTTCGCCATGGCCAACGCTCGCATCTACGGCATCGCCTTCCCCGAGACCGTCAAGGCCGGTGATGAGGTCCAGGCTATCATCGAAACTGAGAACTACATCCAGACTGTCGCGGATATCGCGATTGCCTTTGGAATCGCCCCCGAGGCCTCCGCCTACCCCGGAACTCTCGGCCAGAACGTCTTGGGCTCATTTTACCTCGGACCTGGTACGTTTTCTCGAGACAGCTACGCTGGTACTTTGCCGCCGTTTCCTAACACACGATATAGAAAAGTCCAATGTTCTCGACAACATCACCGAAACGGTCACGATCCCTGCTGGTCTCGCAGCTGGCAAGTACGTTGTCTCAGCTGGCCTGTATAGCTTGTACGGCGCCTCCTCGTCCTCGACCCTGTCCAACTACAACGTCACCGTCATTGTCGGCGACGCGACCAGTGAGACTTACGTTGGTAGCCAACAGTAAGTTCGATTGATCACGATCACGGGAGCATCTGATTGCATATAAATGGCGTTGGACTTTGATTTCCACTTTTCATGCCTGTAGGAGGGTTCAATGCCCAGAGTCGATCACGTCTGAGCTGGGCTGCCTATATATTGGTAGAAACTTGACATTTGCACATTCAAGGCCAAGTTGGCCATTATTACAAATACATTCGAGACTACCTATCATGTGACTCTGTTACTAAGAACCCGCCTGTTCTCAAACTCGGAGCTCCAGCCCGTACTATTGCAACCTGCGCAGATAGCAACATCTGGGGGGACAGAGTAGAGCTGGAATTGAGCAAGGTACCCGCAGCACCGCACTGATGCCTTGCAAGCCCTGTAGCCGCTGAAGCCCACCCCACTGAAGACCTCGGCTCACGATTTTTGACACCTAACGATTTGAACGTGGACATGGTGTCTGAGCTACCGGGCACTGATTCTCGCATAACGACTGCAACACTCCCACGCTAGGTACACATCGAGTGCAGCTTTATTGGTATAAATACGAGGGTCATGAGCAGCGATGTAGTGGTACTGGATCACCGGGTCCTTCTTTCCATTGTACTAAGCTGTGGGCACTTGCAGGTTCACTAATCTTAGTGGCCGCGAGCATGACCAGGTTCACATGAAGGATAGGCAATTCGATATCTCTGGCGGTCTGATCATCTGCTGTCTAAATGGCCGATTTTTTCTTCTCGAAGAGCACGATATATAGAGCTTAAGAAAGTAGCGCGTATCTGTGGCAGCTCTTAATAAGGTCTCTTGATAACACACATTGTGTGCTCCCACACTGGGTTGCATTGCCCTCACCAACCTGTCAGCCGTACCTTTCAAAATCACGGGGATCAACATTGTCGAGGAATACTGTAATTGATTGATGATCGTTTCACTACCAAACTATCTTTGAGCCATGGAGATCGGGGGATAAATATTTAGAAGATGTCATCGGTTTACACACACTCGCCAGTGGCGCAGCAGTCATTGCCTGGACTCTACGATATCGTTACAATTTTTTGCTCCCATGAATTCGGAACCACGCTTCTTCGTTTGAATTAGTCTTCGACCCCAGTCACGATGTCTCAACTAAGATGAGGTAGGTTGATTGCTTTCCTGGACACCTGATCGTTTCCCTAGGCTCCTCACTTATCGAAATGCTATTGATGATTAAGGCGACTGCTATAATTCTAAGAGACAAGTACTTATTCGTTCTTCCTAACCAGTGCAAGGAAGTGACCGCAAATGCTCGCTCGCGGTCTCTGCGCGTCTCATCTGCACAGAGCATAGAAAGGTAGCATGGTTTTGGCTGTACCGGATACGCGTGTTAACAAATACCGATACAATCCCATTGTGAATTCGAGATTGCCGGGCCAAGAGCAGACAGACGGGAAAGACCTGAAAATCAACAAATATTCTGCTTTATGCTTTCCAGTCGGGATGTCCCAGTCTTGCACCAGATGGTCGTCCGGCGCATGGCATAGTCCTTCACACAGATATGATATCACATGTCGACTAGCCTGGTCTTTCGAATCCAAGGTCAAAGCGCTGGGCACTCGAGGGCTTTACTTTCTGTCTTTTCATCAGATAACAAGGTCTATGCTACATGAACGTCGTCGAACCTGTGATTGGCTTCGTACTCTCTCTACCCTCATTGAAAGGTTAGAGAGGGTTCAGGGCCAGATAGCATGCTAACATTGATCGGCCGAGGCAGGGTCATAACTCGTATTCCGATCACGCAGGCTAGAATTGCATGCTAAAAGGTCAGCGAAAGATGGTGCTGGTCTTCGGAGTTGAATTACCCCGTCAAGGTGTCTGTTCAATCCTCTGTGTCAGCGGTCATGTCAAATAACACAACCGTAACGTTGGGAGCACTGTGGCTTGAAACGACTTCACCAACGTGCATCACCGGATCGGGGAAAGTAAGTGCGAATAGCAGGAAGCTTCCTCTAACATTATAGGTTGGCAGTGTCTCGTGGAGGCCACATGTACACAGTACTCTTGAACGGCTGTAGCAGGCTGAGAAACCATTATGAAATTTCGATAAGGCATTTCGTGGCGATTCTCCATCCCAGATGAGGTAGTCTACCACCATAATTTCTAACTCAAGAGGACTCGATCGCATCGGGTGAATGAAACAATGCGTCTACCTTGAGTGCTCCTCGCTGACTTGGGGTAAATTACCGCGAAAATTCATTGTAATCCTTCCTTTGTCCCCAAAATGGGTGGTCACTTCTCACTTTCTAGATCGATCGTGGATAGATGCTTATTCTCTTGCTCTGTCACACAAGCGCCGGGAAGGTTGCATTGACCTTCCTGGTCGCCGCTGTCACTTTACGGGAATTTTCACTTGGGCATGAAGACTGGACCCAAGCTCCATTTCCAAGCTCATGTTATTGGTCAATCTTCCCACTTTCCGTGGCTGATATTGCGCACGCCCCGATCAACTAAATTGAGACGAACCCATCCCTACCGAGTTGCAAGTTTGTATGAGTCGGACCGAGGTCTGATCCCAGAAATCCAGGGACTCCAGTGCTGGGATAGGGCACATGTTGAAGAAGGAAAACGCTGGCCGGATCCTGCTCCGTCGAGTCAAACTTCCACATCATCTTTTGATTCTTGAGTGTGCCAAAACAAGAGGGTTTTCAACTAGCCCGGAGAGGAAGCTAGCAAGCTTGGGCGCTGCGGGACGGAAATGTTTACCAGCCCGAATCCTTCGCTAGCCAACAAACAATTCTTCAACGCTCGAGCCCCATCATCGTGTCGTCATGTAGTACTCGATGGTCTGGCCACAGGGCCACATCCATGTGTGCAGGGTTACATCGCATCCTCCGCGTCACCATTCATCTCACGGCCATCTGGCTGAGAGCCTGAGAGGGAGAGGACGCTCGGGCTCTGGCGGATGATTGAGATTGCAGCAGATATCGCGACAATCACCGCGGTAGGCAACTCTGGAGGTATAAACGACGGCTGATATTGACACAAGACAAGCCGAATGGCACGTCATTCCCGGTACCCGAGCAAAATAACCGTCCCAGAACGCCATCTTACGGAGCAAACATGCTTCATCTCTACGCAGGTGGATCGAAATGTTGCCGTGCATAGAATTCACAGAGAAAGTCTCTTGGCGGACATCCTGATTGACCCGGATTGAATTGTTTGCGAGTTGGAGACCAAGACTAGATCGGCGATCCTACGTACGGTCGCAGCAAACATGCTCTGAGATGCTCGGGACGTAACAATCGCAACACAAACTTTGGCAAATCGCGAATCACGCAGATCTACATTGTCGATACTGTAACAATGCCAAGCGCCGTTGAACCTGGCGTGATCTGGTCACATTTATTGTCTGCTAGCAAGCCTAGTTTTCGTGTTGATAGGAGTTGAACCGGCTATCGATGACAGGTTTCCACCTCGGGTATCGGTGATCTCCTAATCCCTGTTCAACAACACGAGGTGATGTGCGCGTTGACGCCCATTTCCGACGAACCCCACAATCTCCGGGTTCCTGACATGAAGGGACTCAACCGTCGAGTTGTCAGCAACGATGCCGACGCCCCGTTGGGCTGGGGAAGAAGGACGACATCCAGGCCTCAAGAACGGCCTGATAATTAGCGCAAAGGGAGCACCGAACCCTGAGCAGCAAACACAGCCTCGGATGGTGGGGATACCACGTTCAACAGGAGTTTTTTTCTTCATGCAAAAACGTCTCGATACTAGAGCAGCCGGACTCGAAAATCGGGGACGGGACCAGGTTCCGGAGACAAATGTCACCCTGTTTTGCAAGCAACACCCAGCCAAACACCCACCAAGTCGCGGTCCAAGCACAAGCTAACGAGGTACCTGGACCACGGATTTCTGCCCTGTCGTCCAATCTTGCGCTCAATTCAGCCATTCGCTATCACCAAGGCTCCTCTGCCATAGTAGTTCGAGGAGCGCGAAAACAGGTTTCAATGGGTCCAACCCCTCTCGCCCTGGCGAGCATTCCCCTGCTTGACGCCAAGTGCCGGAAATGTGGTTTGGGACGAGACTGCTCGAGCGTGCATGGTAGGATGGAGATATCAAATTGTTGCCGGGGCCTGGGTTGCGCCTGGCGGGTTGGTTCCGTGGCAAGTTGGAGCTGGTTCAAGAAAACGCCAAACGCCCTCTTTGTGTTCCTCTCTGGAAAGTCTTTTCTTTTTCCTTCTTTTTCTGAAAACGTCCACTCACATGGCGGCAAGTTGAGACATTCGCGTGTCATCCGAACAAGCAAGGTTTCGCTCTCGCTACTAGCGAAGAAGGTATTGTCCTCCTTTGATTAAGCGACGTTCTTATTTTTGCGCCATAGAGCAGTCTTTCACTAAGCCATGGCGCCTGGCTATGACGTCGATCATGACGGTCCGCCTTATTCTCGCACTGGGAACGGAAACGCTGCAAAGTCAGTTCCCACAGGGCCCATCGACGACGAGCTCTTTACGCGGGTCCTACCACGGGTAGACACCACGGCCATCGAGACGGCGCGCATTACCATTGGCCAAGAGTCTGAAGACAGCGATGAAGAACATTCACGACCTCAGTTCCGGCGGTCTCTTTCGGAGTCTAGTCTGATGCTAGGAGGAACCGGAAAGGACTCCGATGGACTACGGGATACGGCCTTAGGAAGACAAGAAAGGAATGGGACAACGGGGGCAAATGGGAAATCTCATTCAGCGAGAGACAGCACGGAACTCAGTCGCCCTTCCCGTCCTCTATCTCGGACAGACATCGTATCCCGGGATTACTCACCACCACGGCGGCTTTACACAAAGTCTGACAGGGACACAGTAGCTGTGCCTCCACGCCAGTCTTCTGGTCCCGATCAAGCTAGCATTGACAGCCCCGAACGAGTGCTCAAGCGACACGATTACAATACGCCGCAGCGACCCCCGCGCGCCGAGGAGATCGAGGCCGCAAAGAGACTCTTGGCACAAGTCGCAGAAGAAGAGGAGCTCTCCCAGAGTATGGTGCGATCCTCCAGCGCTGTCCGATCAGCAACACCTCCCCCGATAGGAGGTCGACGACCACGCAGGATCATCTACGACGACTCTGAGGAGGAAGAGGACCAGCATCAAGACCCCGTCGACGAGGAAGAAGACCACGGATACCACGACTACCGCAATGAGACACGCCATGGGCACCGAAGCATAGCAACGACCCCCGTCACTGCCATCCACGCACCTACGGAAGATTCCCGCCCGCCGGCGGCGCAAAGTCGCCAGACTCGCGGCCGACCGACCACCTCAAGAACCTCGTCGCGTCAATCATCGCAGCCGCCTCCCCGATCTCGAGCAGCCGAAGCCCTCGCCGCACACAAGAGAGAGCTCAGGACGCCGGTGCTTGATCATCATCGCTTGTACCTCGACGCCGAGCCTCCACCAATCAGCCAGAGACGCCCGCATCAGACATCGCGCGCCGCTCGAAGGCAGACGTACAATAAGCAGCAGTATTCCGACATGGAAGAGGAGGCACTAGACTACAGCGTGAAGAATGGCCTCGGGGGCTCGACCCTGACGTCAGATTACCGACCGCCGACGGCGGCACGGAGGGCAATGAGCGATGATTCTATTTCGATTTCGAGACAATCTATTTCGAAGCATAGCGTAACGAGCAACGGGTCGTCGAACCGTACTGTTGATTTCTTCGGACCTGGTATTTTTCAGGTCGTCTTGCATAACCCGACGACTGTGCACCAACTGCTGAAGTTTAGCGAAGCTCGATTCTGCAGCGAAAGTGTTGAATTTCTCAAAAAGGTGAGAGGCTATTACATCAGTGCAGTATCTCAAAGCATCGTCACTAACGGCACCTTCGCACTATAGGTCGAGCAATACCAAACAGTTCTCAATGACCTAGCAGGGATTATGACGAGCATCCATAAGGACTTCCTTGCCGACGACTCGTCAAAGCAGATCAACGTCAATGGGGAACTGAGAAAGTCCGTTCATGGCGACATGAAGTCGTTGGTTACGAAGACGCTTCCGTCCATGGAAACACTGTTTACGGATCTTCAAGAGAGCGTTGAACAGGACGTCTTCCTAGATATCTATCCTCGATTTGTGCGCTACCAGATGGCACTGAGCGCAACGAGAGCCTTAGCTACCAACCGACATAGCTATCAAGGACTTGGTGATTGCTTTTGCTTGACGAATCCTGGGTAATTCGACGCCTTCCCATGACTCTCTTTGTCTCGTGCGCATGCTAACTCCTGAGTAAAGTCTTGCAGATAACCCAATTGTCTTTGCTTCAGATGGATTCATCAAAGTCACCGGTTATACTAGACCCGAAATCATTCCGCGAAACTGTAGATTCCTCCAGGGTGCGCATACCGATCGCGTTCCTGTCCGACGATTAAAGAACGCGATCGACGAGCGAAAGGAGTCTGTTGAACTCATCCTGAACTACAAGAAGAACGGAGATCCTTTCTGGAACTTGCTCTATGTCGGTAAGTAAATGTAGACTTGGCTGAGAATGCGGCAATCCTACCCTAGGGTCGTGCTACAAGCACTCGAATGCGCACACATACATCCTCAAGTCACGTTTTCTTAAGGCTAACCTGATCCTCCTACACAGCCCCACTCTACAACGAAGCCGGCAAACTGGCATTCTTCATCGGCGGCCAGATTAATTGCTCAACGACTATTCATAGCAACGCAGACGTGATGAGAGTTCTGTCGACATCTACCAATGACGACGTTCAAACCCAGGATACCAAGGTACCGCCGGCACCTTTACATCGCGCAGGTTCTCAACCTTCGGCTCGAAAAGCATTCCTGAAAGCCCTGGGTATGAAGGTCAGCGACGACCATGTGCCCAACGGGATCGCCGCCGATCCGGGCATGGAGAGCAAGTTGTTGCACAAGCTAGAAGGACGCGACTTGAGCGCACAGATGAAGGAATTTTACACTGCTTATTCAAAAGTGAGTTACTCCCACCCCACCGAGCATGCTATCCTCTAGCAGCGAACCACCCTTACTAACATGAACGTCCCAGTACCTAATTGTCAGCTACGACTCCTTCATAATCAAATTCTATTCTGAAGGTGTCCTAGAAATGCTGCACCCGGCGAACAACACCGTCGGCCTGGTCGCGGGCCAGGAGGTCTTCCGATTCCTCAAGCAAAACATGGTCAACCACCAGTCCGACTACAAGACGCGCGTACGGAACGCCCTTCGCACCGGAGCGCCCATCAGCGTCGAGGTCCGTTTACAGACTCGAAGGAGCGCGTTGTTCCGCGGCGACGAGAGGTTCGTCACGCACTGGACGCCGTTGAAGGATGAGAAGTCTCAGGTGCACTGGGCTGTCGTCACTTTGGCGCCCGCGATCGAGTAATGATTCATTGGTGGGGGTGGAAAATAGACCTGATGAAGTCGTGCTCTCGGAAAGCGCTCGTTCATCTTGTCAGCCTTGCAAGTAAATACCCTTCCTTCCTCTGAACTGAGGTCAGAGAAACATACTTGTGCCAAAAAAGTTTGGCTGCTTAGTCCCATTTATAGACTGCGTCTCGAAGCGAATAAGTTCCCACATCCAATTTTTAAATTGACATGGCCCTTAACGTCGCAGTGTCCAGTCTTTACCTGAGGTCAGGCTGGCGAATCATATGGATTCCGTGATGTCCCGGCGCAAATTAACGCAATTAACTTACGAATACTTGCTTCTTTTAATGCCAGGCGGAAAGTGCTGGAGCAGACTGAAGCTGCCTCGGACCAATGATGGCCGGCACTTGGCGGAAATGATCCCTTGAAGAAGACTACAATTGCGATGATGGGAAAGCCATTGGTAGATTGAGTTCACGGACCAAAGCTAAATGCGCCTCGTAATATGGAGCTATCCGCGTATCTACACGTATGTATCCCCGACATGAGTCAGAGAGCGCATTGCCTGCGGGAGGGCAGTAAGGTTGTAAGAGCGATTATATTGGTTGACCCTCACCAAAGAAGTCAGTAAAGTGCTTGGACTCAAGGCAGAAGTATGACGCTAGGGCACCTTGAATACATCAGATCTCTTGAGGCCACAGAGCCATGATGTGGTCCTTGGAAGTTTCTTTTTTGTGCCTCTTCGTTGGCTCACTGCTAAAAGCCACGGTCTTCAATGTCGATGGAAGACCATCTCAGAAACCAGTCTGTCGTAAGTGCACGACGTGATCAATTGGACAATGACGGGCCTCGCTTCTTATTTCGGCCCCGGGCTTCAGGTCCGCTTCAAGCAGAAATTCGAGCTGACTACGGCACGAGTCATTGCTGTGATGACCCAAATCTCACGATGATAGTACAACAAAGTCAAAATCGCGCATTGGCATGATGCCAAGCCTTCGGCCGATAGTTGGTGCGACTAACTAGACAAGTCGCGACAACAGACGAACTGGTCAAGGCGACGTCCAATGTACTTGGGATTATAGGAATGCAATGTATCCGAAGCGAATGAGGCTTGTCGAGTTTATCCTTTCGAGCTAGCTCTGCATACGAAAACGAGGCGTAGTCACAGCGTTGAGTAAGTAGTCAGTTTCCATCTAACAAGCTTCAGGCTATGATGCTGGCCAATCTGATCCGGGACGTCGTCCTATAGTGATATCCAGGTCGTTGAAATATGCGGTAGAATTGACGACTATGCACCAGTATCTCTGGGTATTTGTACTGCTTGTGAGCCCCTTCGAATCTGGTAAGGTAGTCAACAACCTATCTCCATCAACTGCTCGACATCACGCTAATTAGTAGGCTTCTAACAGAACTACATTGCCATTCTTTTACAAGTCAGTACATCACTAAAGAAGCCTCGATGATACAAAGACTGATACCAAAAACCAACAGATCAAACCCCACAGTCTCTACAACGATGCAAATCTCTGCCTCCCTCTCTTTCCTCGCCATCCTTGGCATGGTCAGCGCCGCAGCGGAGTGCCCTCGCGGCGGTGGCGGTGACGGACCCTACTTGCACAACAAATATCGCGTGGCGCCGACAAGAGTTGGGCAGACGAACACCTACGACTGGGCCGGAACAACCATCTCCGTCAAGATGCAGAAGAGCAGGGACTCCTGCGATCCGGAAGGCGACTGCGACGACGACATCACTTACAACTTCAAGAACAGAGGCACCAAGTCGATCCGCGTTCGTATCGAAGAGAGCTACAATGATTTCATGGGCCTCGTTCTCGCTCCTGGAGCGGACTGCGATTTGAATCGCTACTTCACTCGCGGTGCCGGACCTTACCAGATTTCTTTCGCAAATTAGATACGACATATTCTAAGCCAATATGTTTCTACAACATGCCCCTTTGGGTTGAGGGGAATCATTGGATATACGTGTAATTAAGTTCGCAAGACCGTTCATCTTCTTGGGACTTCTCAGCCGGGGGTCATTCGCGTCCCGGCATCAGGGATATCTCCGAGAGTCTATCACGCAGAGCAGCAGCTATCTATTCATACACTCTGAGTCCTTGAAAGGCATCTTGACACTTGATGATTAAGTGAGACGGAAGTACGATGCGTCAAGTGATGCCCCTACCACATTGACTGTAGCGCTGCTCAGGCCTACGTGCAGTCACTTGAGTAAAGATGACTGTTTCAGCTTCGTCTCAAGGATTTGGACCGAGCAGGCTGGGCCGTGGAGGGAGGCTAATAGCTAGTGGATATTACGCTGAACTTACGCAGGAAGCTAATAACACGGGGTTTGGCTGGTGACTTTTGACATCTCTGCGCCAGTCACGACGCGCTAGGAAAGTCGTGTCACTTGTAGCTCTATGAACAATATAAGACTCTCAGCTCATCTCTGGTGAAGGAAGTTGTCATCTTCTAAAAGGGCTTGGTCTATTGCTCGTTCTTAGCCGGTGGCAGGTTTCCGTATTTTTCTCCCCTAGGTACGTACTTTAGTCTTACTCATGATTAATTTATCCCGCCGCAACGTGTTCCCCATCTCTCAGTATTTCCTTCTATTTCTATCCAGCGCCCGAGGAGTCAGTGGTACAGGAAGTGCTGGAGGTAAGTTGAATCCATCCCAAATGCAGCAAGTAGGAGGGTGCTGAAAGACGGCTATTTTGTCCCGGAAGTATAGTTACATTTGTTCAGGCGGAGATCCTACAGACTACTAGCTGGTAACGATTAGAGAAGATGCACAGTCAACGAGAGCTAGTAGATACGGGCCGCAAGAGTAAATACTTTACCAAATCCAGACTCTTGCCGCATTAAGATTTGAGAACGGCAATTGACATGAACTTACCTATGATAGCCAAACTCATCAAGCTATAGCATTCGCATATGATGAAGTGTGTTACTCTGTTTCGCGAGACTTAGCCGCTGAGTTCTGTCATTCTCCGGGAGACCAGAGGGAAGAACGAAGGATGACTGCCTTCACAATTCCTCCGTCATCCGGTCTTCCATTCTTTGGCTGTCTTGACTCTCATGTCAGTAAGCTCATGAAGACTTCGGACATATTGAATCCCGGAAATGATGTGAAAATGACAATTTACTTGAGGCATAATCAAGAGGGGGTTTCGCGATAGTTTGATGTCGACGGGACTTGGAGTTTGTGTGGTGTGTGTTATGGCGTGCTTCCATTGACAATTGCCATTGCGGGTCGCTTTACAGTTGAGTCAATGTCATGATGGCGCTGTCGATATCAGTCAGATAGTATTCAATGCTGCTCTCTGACCGAAAACGACCTTGGGATTTGATATTGAATTGCTGAATGCTCTATTATCCATTCCGGTTCCCTCGGCCACCGTGACTCGAATTATGCGGGGTCTGTTCAGGCCCGGTCGGTCGGAGCATATCACAGCCACTGTCGATAGAGTCGTGTCCCTCTCCACTCAGCATCATGCGGCCGTTCCATTGGCGCGTTGACCTGCTGGGTTCGGTTAGTTGATGGTCACTTACAGCTCCAATGCTTCTTCAGCTACGGCACATCATCTGATTTTTCTTGGATATGGACAGGGAAACAACCTCAAACTCTTATTTGCAAAGAAACAGAAATGTTTCAATGATGCCTCCTGGTTTTCTATTTGTTTATGTTTGATAGTGTTGTAGTGCTGAAATCCTATGCTACGGATGCAAATCTTGATGCTTGGGAAACTCTAGGTCTCACAAAAGTAATATGAAGGTAGTCCGTACCATTGAGAGAACCCATTCCATCACGACTATCGACCATGGACCGCTAGGGACTTTTAGTTCAAAATGCAGTAGTATGCCTCGTTGCCCCTACGGCTCTCCATTGCATGCTGCCAAGAGCCTAGCATCTCGCTTACAGAACCGCAACGTCGTGGTGAATGTGGACAGACCCTTGCTTAGATAGTCATTCATTGAACTGGACTACGGCATCTGATATCGGCCCCGGCATCGGCACGATGACTTTGGGGCAATATAAAGATCAGCCCGCAGACGCTAGAATTTCTCGAAGTTCCAAAGCATCGAGCTCTTCATCTCTGCAATCTTTCTCCTTAAATACTCACTCTCTTTTCGGACTAAGTCCTTCCATAAACATGGCAATACGGTCCCTCGCCCTAGGGTGGTTAGCCATCTCGTCGCTTCAAATCGGTGCTCAAGCCCAAGACTTTCGCACCAACTGCGATGAGATCTGCGAAGCTGCGTACCGTTCTTCACTAGCTATCGAAACCAAGGACTGGGTCAATGTCGACGTCAATGTCGATCCCTTCTACGCCAACCCATCGAACCTCTCAGACTACGCCGTCGGAGACTTGGTAAAATGGCAAGACCTCACGGGCACCCAGGCCGCTAAGATCTGGACCGTCCCCGCTGGCATGTCCCTCTCTCGCTTCTTCTACATGAGCGAAGATATAGACGGCAAGCCCCTACCCGTTACCGCGTTCGCACTCCTCCCATGGTCGAACCCCCAGGGCAAAGACAAGCCCTTCCGTACCATTGTCTGGGCCCACGGAACTGCGGGCTACAGTCGTGAGTGTGCGCCTACCAATCATAGAGGACTCTACTATGAGTGGGAGGCGCCCTTTATCCTCGCCCAGGCAGGTTACGCCGTCATCGCACCTGACTATGCTGGCCAGGGCAGTGACATTCCCCAGGGCTTCATGTACGAGTCAGGCGCACTCCATGCTGCTGACGTGAGCCACAGCCTTCAGGCAGCTCGCAAAGCCCTTGGTGAGCGGTTGTCCAAGGAATGGGTTGTCGTTGGACACAGCGAGGGGGGCTTGACTGCGTGGCGCACCAACGAGAGAGAGGCAAAGGCTGGAAAGGCCACTGGTGGATTCATCGGTGCCGTTTCGGTTGCGCCTGCGCTTCGGCCCTTGTCACTCATCCCCGAGTCATTCCGCCGCGCGGCCGGAGGCCCCGTAGAAGATGTGGTATCCGTCTACTTCCTCCAGTCTCTGTCAAAGCTTTTGAAGTCGATCCGGATAGAAGACTACGTTAGCGACATTGTTGCCAGCCGCATTCCTCTATCAAACCAGGGATGTCTCAAGACCGGCGGTACTATCTACGGCAGCCTGACTGAGACCCAGCTGTACAAGAATACCAGCTGGCTGACACACCCCGATGTCATTGACTGGCAAGAGCGCTACAACGGAGCCGGCGTACATCAGTGGGCAGCCCCGATGTTGGTTGTCCAGGGCACCAAAGATATTCTCACTTACGCCGAAACTATGGAGCAGGACTTTGATGCAACTTGCAAGGCTTTCCCCGAGTCGCCTGCAGAGCTGCTTCTGTATCCCGAGCTCGGTCATGACCAGGCTTTCCAGGCGTCGCATGTCGATTATCTGGCTTGGGTTGCGGATCGATTCAACAACGTCTCCGTTTCCTCTGGCTGCAGCAAGAGGACAATCGAGCCTGCGACCAACCACCCCTCGCTCATCCATCAAACTTGGCAAGGATCTCCTCAGTAATTGGTAGCCGATGAGTGTTTTGCAGAACGCAAGGCACCTAGATAGGATATGTGTTGGGCCAAAGTAGTTGTGTATTGCTGCGGATTCTCGGAGAGATTGTGTTTGTTTGCTTCGACGGCCATAGAGGTCTGAGATTTCTTTCCTTCTTGTACATATTTTGTTCTTCTTGACACCTTGAAACGACAAAGCCTCATTAAACAGGACATTCATTGAACATGATTTACCTTCATAGATGGAATACTCCGAAAACGATGAGGTCCCTAATGAAAATAATCGTTTGCTTCCATCAATGACTCCTTGAAAACCCCCGTTTGCTATCGCCTTAGATCGTTAGGCTGCAATGACTTGGATTCTGGGTCCATCAACTTCGGGTCATTAAATGAGCTTATGAAGTACTCTGGTCCAAACACCACAGCAAGATACTTCCAGTGAGAGGAAGATACTGATACAAGCCAAATGCATCACGCTTGTGGCCCGGGTATGCCTTCGCTGGGGAACGTATGTGAAGTGATGCAAAATGTGTCGTTTGACACATCGGCAATGGAATGCAGGCTAAGTTGTCAACACGTTGTATCAGCGAGCACCTGCAGGTACCAGGCCTAGTTGAACCAAGATTCCGGGACCTGGTCTCACGCAAAGAGCTCCACAACTCTCGGCAGATCTACAATACTACACCGGATGAACCGCCATGGTGAGACGAACCGGAAGCTTAATCTGAGTCTTGGGTAGACGCTTGGATTACAAGTTAGAGCCTTCTTCCAGACATATCGAGGGTTTCCTGGCTCAAAGGGGCTTCGTGCTCAATGACACGACATAGTGGCTTTGCGTTTCCACCAACGTTTTGAGTGATGGCAATGACCAAGTCTATTAATGTGAGTCCCCTGCGACAAAATTTTGTACACCTCCCTTTGTTTGACCGCCTTTTTCGAAAAAATGGCTCAGGTGGCGCGAGGAAAATTAAAGAAGGCTGCACTGCACATCTGGTGTGTGTGCGTTAATGATGACACAGCATAACTTCAAGTATAGGTAGTTGTGACACGACAATCTGCGGATTGTCAAGCATTCAATAAATGAGACGAACAGAGCCTTGTCGAATCGCGGCCGTCTACAGGCTCTTTGCTGATGCCCTGCAATGGTTAACCAGTTATCCCATCTTTGGCTAGTATGTCGACTGAGCTAGATTTCCAGCCATTGATGGCACTTCTCTCGCTTGACGAGAACTCGTAGACTGTAGTGAGCCCCTTAATGGGTCTTAATTCCCGTGCAGACCAAGGTAGAGGAGTTTCATCTCGTGGAGAAAGCTTAAATAGAGAGGCTAGCCTCATTCTGGTGCGCAAAGCGTTGAGACAGCACTATATTGACTCGTGTGCGTGCCAAAGCTGGCTCAAGCTGGGTAGAGGAGTTGCGGGAGAGTGCGAGACCGAGTCAATCATCTTCAAGTAATAGAATTGACAGTTTAACAATTTGCTTGGCTCGAAGAGTCTATGAGGTATATGATGTAGAGCATGACCTCTGCATGGAAAACAGGAGATGCCTAAAGATTTCCATCGACTTCAATCCCATTACGACTCTGCAAGATCCAGCTTGGTTGAACACAGAAACACAACTCAATTCCTAGTATGCACTCAATCTCCACAATTGTTACTACACCGTATCTAATGATTATCTGTCTGAAGCCATGCACTTCTCCGGCTTCTCTGGCGCGCTTGGCGCAATGTCACTCCTGTTTAGCATCGCCGAGGCAGGGTGCGCTGAAGTTGGCTCCGGCGATGGAAACAACCCACTAAGATGCACATCATACTCCATCCCGAGAGACATCGGCACTAGCGTCACCGTCGGCTTGCAAACCCTTTCGATCGGCAGAACGAATCCAACCCAAAAGACTTACGAGAAGGAGTTTTTCTTCTACGATATGAAGAACGAGGTCAACTACCAGGTGAACTTTGCTGTGCAGTTCTGGAACCCAACGACCAACAAGGTAAGCAAAAGACATGTGCCCCTCCCCGGCCATTGATGTCGGGGTGTCTACATGGAAATATGGTGAAAACGCGGAAGCAACAATGCTAATTGTCGATATTGTATAGAACGCATGGAAAACATACAGCTTGGCAGCAGGAGAGAAGTGCAACATCAGCTTTCAATCAACTTTACAGAATGTCAAGCTCACTTGCTAAGGAGCTTGCGCGATGGTGGGGAGTTCATAGAGAGAGGTCTGTTGACAACTTCTTGACTTGAGCGTTTAATGTTGATTGAGAATTATGGAGTTGCAACGGGAAATTTTACCTCAGATACCATGCGTATAGAGAATTCAGCGGAAATCAACTTGCTTTCCCACTTTACAATGGCTTAAAGTTGCTCGTCCGGCACAAGGCGTTGCCAAGTTGGAGTTTTGGTGTGGTTCTGAACTGACTCGTAGAGCGGCTGACGCTCCAAACTCAGCTGAGTTGCAGGCGTCAGCTGACGCTCCCAGCACAGAGGAAGCACAGAGAGAGGCGGCAAGGGCCGAAAAGGTGTCTTTCGGCGCTGCCGGACTATGCATCTGCCGTGGCGCTCTCCGTTATTTCGCGACATGGAATGCTCAATCAAGAGCAAACACGAAATCAATATCTTCGGGCCATGATATTCCCGTGCTGCGCGCAAGCTCCAACAGCGAGCATGAAAACGAGGCATGACCTCATTCCTTCCGGCGCAAAATACGCTCGGCGAAGTCCATGATACCATCAATCTAGGCGTTCCAGCCAACATGGCCCGACAGAACACCTTCCGAGGGACTGGACTGCCCGCTCTGCCAGCTCTGGACTGCTGCGCCGCGAGGACCCGACGAATGAGAGCACATGCTTACGAAGAGAACCCGGTATGCATCGTTCGACTTGCAGAGTCACGCTGAGCACAGCTGGGCAGAGACACCACGCAGAAAGGTTCAGATCTTCAAAATCCTTCCAACCAACGAGGGATAGCGCAAGAGTAATCAGGCTTAGTGCAAGATCTTGCCCCCATTTGGTCCCAAAGGAGCCATGAAAGAACAGGGGTTCCGGCCTTCTCCATGCCCAAAATTTGACAGTTGGGTCTTCTGCAGCTTGGAGGGAACCCCCCGGAAAATGAGAAAAATGACAGACCCGCGCCATCGGGACACACATCACACCACCAAACCGCCAGATCCGGCCGCAACACCGCACCACCCTCGAGCAGAGTCGAACTATCAACAGACAACACCGGGAAAGATGACCACGCCAACCACACCACGCTCGGGAGAAGCAGGTAAGAGGCAGGCGAGTTCGGATACATAAATGTCTTCAACGAAGATGGGGGGAAACACGATCTTAGATGCACTCCAGTCTCACATCGACCACACAAAAGCAAGCTCAACTCTTCAGTGTTTCAGTTACACAAAAGTCCACTGCAACTATTCCCCGGTTTACCTGAACCACCCCACCGTTCACACTCACACGATCTGCAACCACCTCACTTCAACCCACAACTCTCACAATGGTCAACCAACCCGCCAGAATTCCCACCACTACCCCGGCTCTTGCCAGATTCCTCCCCGCTGCCATCACCGTCGGCATTGGTAAGCCCAGTTTTCAGCCCTACCACGTCTCCAGTGAAGTCAACTAACACACCTCGCCTCGCAGTCTCCGCCGTCGCCCTGAACATCCGATCCCAGCTTAAGACTGAGTCTCAGCAAATGGATCGCTTCTTCTCTAAGTACAACAACCCTCAAAGCGAAGCCGCCCGCCAAAAGGTCTTCGAGGATCCCTCCGAGGACCCACGCAGAAGCTGGTTCAACGCTCTGGGCCGATCGTAAACCCTCGTAGCTCAGAGCTACTTCGGGAGAGATTCTTGCACATACTACCTATTCATTGCTGGGGCGTTTTCTGTTTGTTCAGGGAAAGGATGATATCATTGGCTTTGGTGGTGAAGGCGTCTTGCTTCGCTTTGTTTTGCTACTACCCTCGATGCATACAAAGAGAACATGTAGAGGGGTAATTTCTAGCTTAGACAAGTATTCGTCGGATATGTCGTTTCGATAAACAATGCCAAAGAGTTAAATCAAAGGGACCTACCTACTTCATCAATGACAGATGTAGCCATTGATATGATCATGCTCAATCTACCCACATGGTAGTATGAGTGGCCGGTCCGCACTGCCTGAGCATCGACTTTACAGCCCTCTGAAGAGAACGATAATTATGTAGGTTCTAAGAGTCAAGTCCTTGATATTAGCCGAAGATTCTGTGCATAGCTCTGATGTCACCAAGACAACTACAAACCGGCACCCCAAGACTGAAACATCTCCTCACATGGGATATCTGTCAAGGTCATGAATATCAAGAGGATGTGTACCATACGAGACATTCTCTACGCGCCATGTAATTACAGATATCTTAGTATCATGAGAATCCCAGCATTCAAAGTCAAGCAAGAATCAAAGTTATGTGAATAAGACTTATTGGATTGATCGTTATTCTAGCTACCATCCCAATCAACTACTTTATTATAGCTCAAGGAGAAAACATGGTCGTGCCTAATATTATTGGCACCCACGGTTCCTTCATGCTATGACTGACCATATCATAAAAGGTTGATTTACGCGCCGTTGCCGTTGTAGGCAACGAGGTTGGGGCTACCGGACAGGGTGCCGGTGACGCGGCCGGAGGTGCCGAGGGCCTTGATGCGGCTGGTGACGGCAGCAGGGGTAGAGAGACCCTCAAGAGCCTGAAGGTAGACGGCAAGACCGGCAACGTGGGGGCAGGCCATGGAGGTACCGCTGATGGTGTTGGTGGCAGAGTTGCCGCCGATCCAGGCAGAGAGGATAGAAACACCAGGGGCGAAGATATCGACGCCAGCACCGTAGTTGGTGAAGGAGGCCGGGCGCCAGCTGGAGTCAATGGCGGCAACGGTCAGGGCGTTGGGGGCGTTGGCGGGAGACTGGCTGGAGACAGGGAGGGGGTTGCCGTTTTCGTCTCCGTTGCCGGCAGCAACGACGGAGAGGACGCCCTGGGTGTAGGCGGCCTGGATGGCGGAGGTCCAGGTGGTAGAGGCGGGGCCACCGAGGGACAGGTTGATCACGGAGCGGGCGGCGCGGGACTTGGAGGTGATGTCGTTGACGGCCCAGTTGAAGCCGGACAGAATGGAGGAGGTGGTGCCCTGAGCGCCCTGGAAGACCTTGACGGAGATGATGTTGGTCTGAGAATGGGATGTTAGTATCAATTACGCAAGAAGCTTATAGGAGTGAAACTCACCGACTTGGCAACACCGTAGGTAGAGCCACCAATGGTACCGGCGACGTGAGTGCCGTGGCCGAGGGTGTCAGTGTGGGTGCCGGTGAAGGCGTTGAAGCCGAGGGTGACACGGCCACCGAACTGGGTGTGGGTGGAGATGACACCAGAGTCAACGACGTAGGCGTAGGTGTTGGCACCGGCAGAGGTGTCGTAGATGTACGAGGTAGAGCCGGAGGTCTTGTGGGAGATGGATCCCAGACCCCAGGGGGCACCAGACTGGGTGGTGAGGGCACGCTCCTCAACCTCGAAGTCAGAGAGGTACATGTAGTAGTCAGGCTCGACGACGGCAACCTGTATCATAGTGTTAGAGGTATGCTCATGTGATATCTTGAGTGGCTGATATTCGTCAACTTACGTCGGCGCTGGCCTTGATCTCCTCAATGGTAGCCTCATCAAACTCGCCAGAGTAGGCGTTCCAGTTGCTGATGTTGAAAGTGTTCTCAACACCGACGGTGTCACGCTTGCTCAGGGAGCGTCTGTGGACGTCGGCGACCCAGTTCAAGTGGGACTCGACGCTGGCAGCGGCACCCTCCTTGAGGGTGACGATGTACTTGCCAGGGGCGGCCGCGGGCTCAGCGCGTCTGTTGACGGCAGCGGGGGCGGCGAGAACTGCCGGGAGCAGAGCTCCGACGGCGAGAGCGAGGCGGCGAAGGGAGGCCATTGTGATGATGAGGGGAGAACCGAGGAGGAGAAGTGATCAGAGGAGAGCGGATGGGGCTGAAGAGACGAAAGATGAAGATAGGGCGGATGTCGTGTCCATCTTTATACTGGATTTCCAAGATATCGACGGAGGCTGAGATGAATGGAGTTGCTGTCGATTCCATTCTTGATATTGCGCATATCGGTGTAGTATCTTGCGTGATGTCCCGCCAAGCCCTACGGTCTCCAGCTTGGAGCTGTCAAGCTTCCTAAACTGGTCCTAGAGCGAGAGGTGCCAGGTACTTGAGCAAGGAAAGTTGTGGGTTCCCCGACTCCATGGGAGCACGCGAGAACGAACATGCTTGTTTAGGAGCTATTACCTTCCAGAAAGCTAAAGCTGACCTACTTCCTTACCCGCTGTTTTCAAGCGCGCCGAGCTTTTTGGCTCAACTTCCTTGTCTCAGGCCTCCTCCCCGGTTGATATCTGGGAGTTGGATCTTTTGTCATGTTGTCAATGTGGTTCTGGCCGGGTTTAAGCTCCGACTACGGCAGCATAGTCAAGCGAGAAAGGGGTCCCGAACTTTACGCCGATGGATCGAACTTCAAAGAACATCAAATCTGATTATCTAAGGTGAATGAGAGGACCGACCACCACTAGCCCCGCGGAGGCAGAATTGTGGTTGGCTGGAGGCATGAATTGACTCGAGCTGACTTACCATTGAATGAGACATTGGAAAGGGTTTCCGGCTCTTGATTTGCTTGGGAGTTGTTTACCAAGACCGTCGGAGGTTACCTTAACAGAGGAGCCATATTAGTTCAACTTATGCTTAATGTGGAAGGTCGCGTGTTGACATTGGTTGGGCCACCCGATGTAGGGATTACGAACTGACCAGGACTTAATTAAAAAGCTACGCAAACTCCACACGCGCCCTAACCTCTTCCCGCCTGCCACATCCGTCCTGATTTCCGACCATAGAGGGGGTCTTGCAATAGACTATCTGGAGGCGGGAGATCCCCATATGGCCCAATTGCCGACCAAAGAGCACTGGCATCGCGGTCTAAACTAGAAAGCTGCCCCGATGCGGTCTTTGATCAGCGAGGTTCAGGTACAGGACCATGCGTGATGGTGGGTGAATGGTCTGGGGCAGAATATGCGGGTAAGCGCTGTTGCATTCGAGGAGGACATGGACTCTGGCGCAACTCTGCAGCTGCGGCCTTCTGTGTTGAGTGAAGACACCAAGAAATGACATATTGCCTTTTCCCACAACCTCGTATTCCTATCGATCGTGTGGGTTCGCATTCTGGATTCGACGTCGGAAGATGAAAACCGACATGCAAACATCTAGATTGGTGAGTAACCTTGAGGCGAGTAAGACGATGCGTTCATCCCACGTCTGCGTTGGCAGCCAGCTTCCTGAAATGATCATCAAGCCTGTTGATGAAGGTGTCCTCCCATTTGGAAATTGGCGCGTGCGAAGGCGGTGCTTTTCCGTGCTGGCTTGTGGGGAAATGCGCTCGGATTTCTCATTCAGGCTGTTCAATACGTGCGGCGATGACAGTGGCCATGCCAGCTTCACTGATGCTACTGGATGCTCCGCCCAAGAGCGCGCCAGTTAGAAGCGAATAGCGCCCGACTTCCCCTGTGCTGATAGTTGATTAACGCTGCGGAGTCTTCGCCAAGAGCCGCAACTAGGAAGCTCGGCTTGCTTCGTTGACTGGGGTCAACTGCCGTTTAACGTTTGACTAATTCAAGCGAAGGAAGAGGGGCGCGTCTGGACGGGGCCTCTCGGGGATGATAGTGAAGTCAAGTGGCTGAGGGATTGAGGAATCTAGGGGCAGCGAGAGAAGGAGGGAGAGGAAAAGGCCGGATGGGCTCGGTGCCGCCCGATCGCGTGACTCGCGTAATCATACTCAATGGCAGGCTTCATATTCAGCAGTAGCAAGCAGGATATCTGCCTCTTTCTCGTCCGTGCAACGTATCTCTGTCTTCCTCTCTTGGTCTTCTCGTGAGGTTCCGGGTTAGCAATCCCCCCGTGCGGGCCGTGGGCGGCGGCACCGGCAGAGACATTGATGAGGCTTGAGAAGAAAGAACGTGAGGGGCAAACGAGAGATGACGGCATGCCGCATGCCCGTCTTGGAACCAGCGGTGGATGTTTTCCGTCCCGGCCATAGCTTCCCCTGATATTTCTCGGCACTGCGCAGACATCGCAGATATTCTGGGGCCAGGCCGGTACGGTGGAGGGAAATAGGAAGGAGATAAATTACCTAGCCGCGCTAAGGGGTATTCGCTCAGACTCCGCTGATGTGGCATCACAAAGGTCGGCCATTCGAAAAGAGCTTCTTGGACATCTTCCCACGGTAGTCTCGCGGGGGGCCGAGGTGTCGTGCTCGGATTCGATTTTCCCACTTATTCACTGGGACTATTATGCAGCTAGATCGTCTGTTCTGCCTTTTTGATGTCAGCGTAGTTTATGTTAAAGTACAGAACCACAACGGCCCGGTGGGTTGAATTCGAGAACCACATAGTGCGTCCATGCGTGGCATGTGAAGACTCCATCGATCCTCGAGGCCCCATTTGACGAGGTCCATTTCCAGGTTGCCAAGCAACAGGCTCTGTGGGGCCGATAGGGACTGGGTTCGTATTGACACCGGCTTGGCACAGATATTACAGTGTCAGCATGTTGCTGTGCAAGAAGTTGAAGTCATCACGACCTTGTGTTTGGGTTGAAAGCTCCCAAGCTTCATAGTGTCGTCCATGAGGCTCTGCAAGACTCTCGGATCCCGGATCAACTGTTCGTTTCTGAAGCTAAGGTAGAGAATAAGGTGCATGTAACCTGCGGTACTGGTGGGTTGCACTGCCTAATCGGGCAGGCTGATGTCTGGGACTCTGGGAGCAAACCGATAACCTCCCACATGCCGGCTAACCAGACGGCCCCCCCAGTCGCTGTATGCAATGCGACGATAGATCCCACTGGGTGAAAAATGCTTCAGTGACCACGAAGCCAAAGATACATTCTCAATGCCTGAAGAATTCGAGTCGCTGAACTGACTATGGTCTCAACTGGAGCTCGTTTCTCCGTGCGCGAGGCTCATTCTTTTGAGTATAATCGGCAATTCATTCCTTTACACAATGCGCCTATTCTACGAGAAACGCGACCGCGTGCAAAGCTTGAAAATGCGCCTGAGGAGAGTTCTTGAGTATCGCGGCGGAAGATAGGAAATTTCTTACAGTTAGCAACCCCATGTCTAGGGCGCTGTGAACAGCGCTGCGCTCTATCCGCATTCTGCAATCTGCCAGACTACTGGGATTACAATAAAGGAAGCCGCCCTATCCAGAGAATCGGGTCAGAGCACACTTCTGGCAACCTCTTTTTAGCCTTACAAGATAAGCTTGCATGCGTGTCGCGCCTTTGACTGGGCCCCCAGCGTCGGATTGCAGGCATTCACTCTAGATCTCGATTACTGATCCCGGCCGAAGTAGACAAAATTTGAATTGATGAGCAAGTTTCGAGCAAATTCGATATTGAAAAGGCTGCGTGACTATATGATTTACCTAGTATGGTGCAAGTAGAATAGAACGAAACTTGTACACTTCAATCGCTTAGGAACAAAACAAACGTAAAGGACATTCATAAGTGGTCAAAGACAACTAGAATCTGGATCGCCAGTCAGATAACATAAGATATTGACGTATTCCGCATACCTCGATAGTTGTATCGGTGGCTTATTAAGTCCATCTGGGATATTCTGTAGCAATGAATCAAAGTAGTCAACTCCATGTCGAACGTTTGAAGATATCCCAAATATAGTCACCAAATTTAGTTGAGAGCTTGTTGTCAACACTAGACGGCATCATCTATTATATTCTTGGAGTCTGAATACAGGCTTGTTGATATCTAGAATTCTGAGCTTGACAACAATGCAGTTCAAGTCCACGAACACTTTGCTTTCGGTAACTGCTTGGTACATTTGAAGATGCTCAAACACGAAGCAGCCGATAATCCTCGGACAGAATCCCATAGTCCATCTTGAGAGGTTCTTTGGGTCTTTAATATTATATGGAGGCAATCTGAATCTCGTATTTACTCTTTCAGGCGGAGGCATCCGCACCCGAAGCTCCTTTGAGGTTGTCTTTGGTGTGATTACTTGCGTTACCCTCGAGCTGAATAAGAAAGTCAGAAGTCAATAAATCACCTCGCTCGTAACTTTGTGAGTCTTGAAAGGCACTTAACTTACCCCAATGAGCATGCGCTTATCTCCAGGTACAATCATCTCGAAGCGATCGTTTATGATACCGTACTCGAAGTACCCTAGTCGGGCAATTGGATTTGTCTTGGAGATATCAATCCTCCCATCCGTCAAGACGCTGTCATCAATATGAACGCCGACAACTTTGCCAAAAATAACATCGACAGTTCCCATTGGCGGTTTCCCGGGAAGGCGCACTGTCTGCATATACTCGCACTCGAAGCGGACAGGCGAATCGGCAACCATGGGGACGGACGTCTTCAGACTCTTTGACCAAGTCTTCTTTAGGCCAGCTCTCTCAAACTCGTCCTCGTTGGGGCCGATGGCTTCCGCCGAGATGTTGACGCTCTCCCGGAGGGGGTACGTTGCGAGCTGCCAGCAGAAGCTTCCGGTACGCTCAATGTTGTTGACGGTATCTTTTCGGTCTTCAGCGTACGTTTGGTTCGCGCTGAACATGACCATGGGCGGGTCAAAGCTGACGTTTGTGAACTGGCTGTAGGGAGCTAGGTTGTGCTCGCCTTCGGGTGAGACGGATGAGATCCATCCAATCGCACGAGGTACTACGCATGCCTAGACACGTATGTTCAGCGGGAAAGTCGATAGCGTCTTTTGGGATGCGATTGGCAACTCACTTTAAATGGATCATATGGTAAACCGTGATCATCAACACCGGGCTGGTAAAACATTGTAAACAAGGTTGTGATAGTCGAAAAAATGCTCAATGAACTCTAAGCGTGAAAGGTTACCCGAAGATCGAAAGTTCAGTGACTCTATGTAGTTTACTTCTTGGCAACTTATAACCAAAGTCAGGTTGAAGTCCGAATTTCCCTTGGTCGGTGAAGCCAACTGATGAAGTGAGGGGTCTATTGAACTCCCGCCGTCGTCCGACACTCGGAACCGTTTGACGTCACTGGGTCGGAGTATTCGGCGCTTCAGTAGCTGCGCTTTCGGACAGTTCGGGCCCAATTTCACATGCCCACTTGCCGATTTGCCGTAATACCTGACTGAGAACCAAACAACTGTCCACCGTAAAGACGGAGTGAACCCTTGAACTATCTTGTTTGTAGACTTTCATCATTTTTGCTTGCTCTTATTTCATCATGATCGCTAGCCTGTGCGCAGCTTCCAACGGCGTGAATGCCGACTCAAGTATTCAACACACAGCACCAGGGACCACGGAACAATCCCCAACAAGCAGTTTCACATGACCTAAGGCGTGGTGCCATCGAACATCGTAAACCTGGTAGTACATCAAGTCTCGTGGAGGTAGGTAAAATCAAGACTGATTTATAGTGGTATCTTAAGTAAGCGCTACTAAGTTCAAAGAGTCGGGCGACATTTGACGGGATAGTAGATATACCCTGCAAGCCCTCATCGGCAACAACTCGTCCTCTTAACCATCTAGGCCACCCAAGCTTGAGGATCGACGGCTCTAGGCTTCGGAGTAGCTTGTGCCGTAGCGGCGGGCGATGACACGGAGCTGGTGGACCCGCCGGAGGTGGTGTCGACGATACAGTCGCCCTTGGCCCCGGCTTCGACCTTTGTGCACTCGTCGTTTGTAAATCTGGAGGGCACCTTGACGCACAAGCCTGCGCTCTCAATCTCTCCACCCTTGGAGGTACACAGGCTTGAGATACCTTCCAGGCTTACGTCAAAATTGCTTGCACTCGCGCAACGGCAACGGAAGATCTCTTGGGAGACTGCTGCACTGTAAGTCGGTTAATATGTGCATTTTTTCAAAATACACAGCGAGTGTACTTGCCCCAAGAAGGCCACGGTCATTGTAAGGACGGATGGCTTCATATTGAACGCTCGAATTGATTGTTGAAAGATAAAGATGTAATTCGAATGCTGGGTTCGGAAGAGAATGTTTGTTTCTGTATCAAAGTGGGAGGTGGTGTTTGGCTGCTCGAGAAAGTCGAGACTCGAGAAACTATTTAGGCCGGGCCTGGGGTATTTATCCCACATGAACCGATTTGTTATCGGATGGGTCTTCGGTTTGCTGCATTACCTACATTGCACTTCACGTTCTCGATGTCGTAAGACTTGGGCGCAGCTGGCTGGGTGCATCACCAAGCACAGCATTGACTGACTCGAACCTTGTAGCCAGAGCAGCCAGAGACTGCTTCTAGAAGCCGGTGCTGCTAACACGAAACAGGAGCTGCCCTGCTGATGCAAAACTGACTTTCGAGCTGCGGGCCAATGCATACTGTCTTCGTTACTAAAATAAAGTCTGAAGCAACTGGAAGGGCACCGGTACCCAAGTTTTCTCATACTTGACAGCGGGCGTCGGACGATCCACTTGAGTAGAGTCGTTCACTCGGCGGCGCTCTTGGCAAGGCGCTGGCAAGCTGTGCTTTGCATCCCGAGGCCACCAGCGATCGTCAGAGACGTCCTTGGTACAGCCTGGAAAGTGGAGTTATTTGAACTCTAATCTTATGAATAAAGGTCGAGAAAGGTGATGATGTGACAACTGCAATATAGCCGAGACTTTGGAACAAGCGGACTTTCTGATTTTGACTTCCGTGCCAAATTGCATCGTTTGCCGAAGGACATTCTCTGCCGAGGCGACAACCATATTAAAGTATTCGCCAAAAGTGTCAATTGATGACTTTCATCACCACATCCACCAGTGCAGAATTTTGATAGAGAGCTTGATCAAGTACGTGTATCTTAGTTCGCCTGGCACAAACCAGAGCCTTTGGCGTCTAGACGGCCATGCTCTATCACCCAGGTGTTTCATGTTCTGAGTCCTGCGTGCGGGGCCGGCCACCCCGACATGGAGGCTCCGGCAAGCTTGGACAGAATCTGTAACTTGCTCTCGGCGACGACCGTTTTTATGCTGCCGCATAATATTATTCTCTCTTTGGCCCAGTTCCTCAGCGAAGTAACTTACGTGCGTAAATTAGTAGTCATTGAACCCCATCGCGCCAACTTTGGTCTAGTCGAATCGGTCATGTTGACAAAACATGGAGTCAAGAGGGATTCGATTTCAAGCGGACTTGCGACTACACGGTGTCAAATCAGACATTTCATTGAAGGGACAAAGATTTCGGAATAAATAGACTTGAGGTGGCGTAAGTAAGAGTGACGGCTAGGCAAAGAGAGTTGGGGTGTATTCCAGCATGGGCTTAGAATTGTTGATGACGGGGTATAGCAATAGTGGATAACTTTGTGTTTAGATGCCAATGCTTTACAAACCGCTTGATAGATAAATCGAAAGTCTATACTTAAGATCTGTCTATAGTGCTTTTGCTTGATATGTGAGGGGGTCATGTCAGTCTCGTAGGCGGCTGGTTGACATCTGCAGTCCGCCTGTTGCCACAAAGAGAATCTGTCTATTGCATCGCTATGTGAAACAGGGAGTCCGTCATAGATTAACATGTAAGTTGCATTTCAACCATAAATGAAAGGCTCACGCCGTTTGGGCAGCCAGTCAATTCAAGATTCGTCACGTACGCTTGCATTGTGATTGACGCCGATGCGTTTAGCGGAGGCCCCTTCAAACTGGCCTCCCGGTTGAAAGAGGTGTGGATGATATCCGTCTCGTGGTAGCCCAGCGGCATGTTGATTAGATAGTTGTAGGCATGCCTTCGCAGAGCATTAATGAAAAAGTCGTTATCATTGCTGATGAACCAAGCTTCGGCATTCGGTGCAGGTGTGCCTTCGAAGGGCATTCCTCAGTACCATTGAACACCGTGAAATATAAGTTCAACTCAGTCAAAAGAGCAACTGGATCTTGATTCAGTAACTTGTGATTTTGTGCAGATTAATTCATTCAGGATCAAGTTCTCACAACCAACACTTAAACGTATCCACGCTGTATTATGCAACCTGAGTAATAGGTATCCAGGGATGAGAATATATGGACATCCTGTCGAGGTATGTGACTGCTTCCAGCGGCTCCGATCCGCTCACTCATGGTTATTGTCCTCTACAACATGCGCATGCGTTTCCAACGCAAGTTTCTCTGTCTTCCGAGCCACCTCTTCGGTCAGTCTATCCTCGTTGCCATCAAGAATGACTGCAGTCTCTTCCAGGCTCATCTTTCCTGTTTCCACAAACAGGAAATACACCACCACAGCCTCAAAAGCCAGCCACACATCATACGTGATGTAGTACTTCCACTTTGAGTTCGTCACACCAATCGGGTTGGCGTACTGGTTAAAGATCAACGCCAGTGCCACGAACAAGTTGTAAAGAACCAAGCCTTTGGCACGCAAGTTGAAGGGCAGAATCTCCACGACGTAGGTGACCTGGAGCGCGCCCCATCCCACGGTGAACGTGACGTTGTACAAGAAGATCATGGCCAAGACACCCTTTGCGAGGCCCGGGGATCCTGCGCCAGTGAGGTCGGTTTGCTTTTCATATGTTGCTTGAAGTGCTGTCCAGATGACGTAGCACACGAGGGATCCGATAGTCGAAGCGAGAAACATCGTTCGGCGGCGGAAACGGTTGACGAGAACGGAGGCGAGGAGACCCCAGAATAATCCCCACAGAGTGATGAGGGCGTTTATTAGCGTCTGCGTGTCTTGGGAAGTATACCCGATCGAGTTGAGAATCAAGGTCAGGTAGTAGCTGATCAGACCGTTGCCGCTCCTATCAAGATAGACTCAGATGGTGATGAATAGGCGAGGTAGCGAAGCGTATGACTTACCACTGTGAGAAGAAACCGACAGCAAGAATGATGAAAAAACGGCGCCGGTTACCTGGTGTCTGGAAGAAAGCCATGTACGACGTAGTCCGCGATGCTTCCGCCTCCAACCTCAGTGCCGTCCTAATTTCCTCCATCTCCAATGGAACGATGAGGTCAGAAGCATCGCCGTTGGCGTGGTACTTCACCAACAGCTTCTCGGCTTCCGCATCCCTCTCTTTTGAGATGAGCCATCTCGGAGACTCTTCGATAAAGAAGCACAACCCGAGCTGCACCACGCTCGAAAGTCCCTGCAAGATCGAAGGAATCCTCCAAGCCCACGTGTTCCCGATCCGAAATGTACCAAAGGTAATCCACGCGGCGCTCAAAGCTCCCAATCCCCAGAGAGAATTGTAGATGGATACTAGCGGCGCTCGCTGGGACGGGTACGCGAGCTCCATGATCATAAGAGGCGCGGCGGTGATATTGAGCGCGAGGCCGAAGCCGAGAACACCGCGAGCAACGATGAACATGGCGACGTTCTGGGCTGCGCCTTGGAGGGCGACACCGATAAGGAGGATGGAGGCACTGACTAGGAGGGCGGGTTTGCGTCCGAAGCGATCGCAGAACCAGGCGCAGAAGGGGAGTGCGAGGAGCTGGCCCACGTTCTGGATCGCATTCAGTCTTTCTGATGTTAGGGCAGACTCAGCGGTTGATGAATGAGAATACTCACAGTCCCAGCTCCTGAGCTCCAGGGTTATTGAATGATTCCTGCCATGTGTCCAGAGACTGGAGGCCATTCATCATTGAGCCATCGTAGCCGGTTGCGTAGCTCGATACCAACGAAAGCGCGATGACACAGTTGAGCTTGACGATTCCCGAATTTGAGAACCAAGCGAATGCCCCTCTTTTGTTCGCGATAGCAGCGTCAACAGTAACGGGGATACCGCCGGCCGGCTCAGTTGTTGCGGCAGCGTTTTGCGACATTGCTGCGGTCGAAGAACGAGACATTGCCTATCAATCGAAGACACTCAACATGGCAGAATCCCGTAGGGACGGGGAATACGGTGTCGTTATTATGCTACGAGCTCCGAGATAATAACAAGCCAAGCCCGATCCGTTCGTATCCCACTCGGCTCCCGATAGCAGGCTCGATGTTACTATGTCCGGCCAACCTCCGGGCCGGAGTCACGTAGGACATTTCACAGAGTAGAGATTGTTGGGGTCGTGTAAACCTCAGTCTGCCGATAGGAGCTCCCGAGGGGAGATCAGGAGATACCGGCGGGGTTTTCTCAAAGGATCCATGGGCTCGGGTAGGCAGCGCCTATCAGCCACTGGCGAGATACTCGGGCGAAATGCGTCCGAATCAGGAGCGACGATAGATATGCCGCTGGTAACATGACCTCTGTAGAAGTGGAGGCTGTACCATCCCCTCGGAGACTAGGTTCTTCACTATCGAATCACGCAGCTATACAAGCACTGGATATCGGGTTTGCCCCAGCAGCCTCTATGATCTTCCCGACGTTTATCCCCGGCTCTCATATGGTGTCATTCCCGAGACCAACGCGTGGTTCTTGGATCTCACCCCGCAAACCCGTTTACCTAGACTCCGCCCAAGCGCAGCTCACTAAGACCAAAGTTGGGGTATGTAACCTCGCCCGGGGTACGGTGATGGTCCACCGGTTCCGGCCCGGTTCGGACCGGGGTTTGTAGAGCTGAAAATGGTATCTGTGATTGGTGGACCTGTAGAGAGGCCAGGGAGGCTAGGAGCAGTTCGGTCGAGGAAGCCTGAGTGAGGTTGGCGTGAGGGGTTGATGATGGTGTTTCTTGATGAGTGGTGATCTACCCCCGGCTAGGTGCTCGCGTGTGAACGGAATAATTGATCAATTCCCTTATGGACTTGCTGTGATATCCACTATGTGATCGCTGAGGGTCACTTTCGGTATATAGTAGCTGGCATGAGACGGCAGGGAGATGGATACGTCAGGTTAGAAAATGTTTCCCGGCTTTGCTCCGTACTTCTCATCGCATTCCTACAAGCACCATGCATCTCAAGTTAGCTGTCGCTTCGCTTGTGGCCTCTGGCGCAACGCTAGGGTCCGCCGCGGCCAGCAAGCCAAAGCTTTCCGCAAGTAAGTAAACGCCAGAGACATAGAAGAAATCTAGGATATCAAGTAGGTGGTCCAGATTGACTTACACTACTGTTAGATGCCCAAAGTCTATTCGACTTCTCTATGGGGGTCCAGGACTCCAGATGGGACGACTCGTACAACCTTATTTGGTACCAAGACAAGGGTCCGTGGTCCGTCCGCTTCACGGCTTGGTACACGGCGGGTCTGCTCCATCGCAATGAGGGCGACGACGTGGAGAACGCAAAGGCGGCGATTGAGAACATGTCAGTCGGTTGGATGAAGAGTTTAAGAGTGGCTGAGAGTGCTAATTTGTGGACTACGATGCAGTTTGGCGAGCCAGATGACCTCGGACTACGAATCGGCGTGGTATGGCACTTTCAAGCTGTCGCCCGACGAGCCGGACCCAACGCCGGATTCTGAGCTGTACCCTCCCAAGATCTATGTGAGCATAATCTAAGTGCAAAAGCGGTGGTTGCCAGCCCAGACGCAGTCCGCTGACCACAGATCTAGACTACTTACGACCCAAATTGGAGAGAATTTATAGGGTGAGTCTTTGGACACATTGAAGGAGTCCAACATCATGGCATTTGGAAGGGTTCGAGGACGTACAAGGATCCAATGATACTAATATGATCCAGGACTCAACTAGTACAAGACGTCGAACTTTACTCTGATCTCCTGGGCGCAGACCTCGTCAAGAAAATTGAAGATGCGCTCGAGATCCAAGCCATTGGCGCAATGAGGCGCAACGGTAGCTACCCCGAAGGCGATAACCTCATACTGGGATACTCCAACCCGGGCCTCATGCGTGCCCTTACAGTAGGCTGGATCGGCGCCCGTCGCAGCAACGCAACCTTTATCAACTTCGCAAACACTCAAGGATCCCAGCTGCTTGAGCTCTTCAAGTCTAACGGCTCAAATACCCTTGGGGAGTACAATGCGCCAAACTACTACGGCATGGACGTTTGGGCTCTAGCCGCCAACATCGCCTATGGTCCCCGCAACGCAACACTGACGAAGAACGCCGAGTACATTCTGACGAAGCTGTGGGATGACATTGCAGCGCACTACAACCCCTACCTGGGCAACCTCGTCGGCCCTTATGACCGCGCTTACACCCGCGATATGACCAAGCACTCATCCATTCTGCCCATGTACTGGTGGGCCGTCTTCGGGCGCGAATACGGGCCTCAGCCGCCCAAGGGCGAGGGCGATTTGCTGTTCGATGCAGCTCAGGGCGCGGCGATTGCGCTGGTTTCTGACACAGTGGCCCGGCACATCTCCAACAGCACAGCGGCGGCGCTCAAGGCGAAGGGCCCCTGGGCCGGCGAGCGCAGCATCACGCGCGAGGTCAAGGAGAAACTGGATTCGGACGCCACGCGCACGACGACGTCGTGGGTTAGCGCGCCACTCATGATCGGTGGACAGGAGCTTGCGGAGACCAAGAACCGCGGGGATCAGTTCGTGCCGGCGATCGTGCACTGGGCTTCGGACCCGTTGCACACGCCGTACCCGTACATCGGCTTCTTCCTGCTATACCCTTCGGCATCGACCATTTCGGCCGTGGCGGGCGAGAGGTCACTCAGCGTGTCATATCCGAACAGCACGCAGGAAGGGTCTGATATTTTCACGTTTGCGCTATCCGGGATTCCGCCTTCGTGGACGCTGGGCGGGAAGACGATTACCGGATTGGAAGAGCTGCCGTGCCTGAGCGTCAATGTTTCGGCCCCAGGGTTGGACAAGCTGCCGATTTCCTATGGGCAGCAGTTGAGAAACCACTGGTATTATAACGTGTCTTACGCGGTTCCTGCTGGGTTCGAGGGTGTTCCCCGGGTTGATTTGACGATGGAGTATACTTGTGACATCTGAGCAGAGTTGTAGACGAGGTATTATCGGGAACATGGTCCTTCGACCGGATGAATATTAGTAATTGAGTTGAGCGCGCGACAGAATGTACCAGGACATGAGGTCCCTATGGCTAGCTGCCACGCCACCTTGTAGAAGCAGTTGGTCAAGCCCCTCGATTTCTGATGCCATGATTGGGAAGCAGCATTAGCTAAACGAACTGAACCTGAGAGAACTGTCACATTAATATCTTCCAGAGACGCGGGATCTGTACCCGTGACCATGTGAAAGTGTCCCAACTCTTAGGAATGACTGTGCAAGTACTGCATTATGCCAATCTTCTCGTCGACTACTGTGGTAGGTAATTGATTCTGCTACTCAAGAAAATTATGATGCAGATTCAAAGTCAATTGATGTCATTTGGAGATTTGACTTTGCTGGACCGCACGCTAGAAGCCACGGTAGCGACGCTCCGTTGGTGCCTCGGGGCCATCCGTTCTTTTGGTTTGAGGCTTCTTCAGCCGCTGAAGTGAGGCTCAGTATTCACATTCGCGGTTAGTGTCACTCTGAAAGTTCCCAAGTTGAGGACGACGTTTGGGTTCTCAGGCCGAGATTTGCCCTCGTTTGCTTTGCTTTGATTTGATTTCTTCACCCCGACTCACCGCCGATTCGTATCGATAGCTATATTAGTCTCATCTTGAGCTAAAATTTGCCCTGTGAGACCCTGGCCAAGGCGCCCCTTGTTAGTTTCAGATTGAGTAAGCCAGATTCAGGTCGCTGGCTTTGGAAAATCCAACCGAAAACGATTGCAAGGCTCTCTCCTCCTGTCCTTTGAAGACTTGAGAGTCATCTTGGATTCTTCAAGAGTCTTGTGAACCAGTCGAAAGAGTCTAGGAGTTGACAGTTGTTCGCTTAACAAAGGATGGAATCCCAGTGGTTCAGACAAAAACATGGCAGCAGGGGAGCCAAAGGAAGCGCACCCCGACGGCGCCGATTAACCGCAGCAGATCCCTGGAAACATCTCCACTGTTTGTCTCAGTTTGGCGTCTCGTCTCCCTTAAGAGAAAAAGAAGCTTTGACGCTCGTGTCACAGAGGAGGCAAAGGACTGGAAGAGCGGTAGAGCGAGGGCAAGGGACTCGAGAAGCGTGGCATTTGGGCAGACAGCAAACACGGCGGCTCCCCCTCCTGAGCGTAGCGCGCCCCTCCGATCCTTCCGATCACCGTACTAATTTCCACCCTTGAAGGAGCTCCTTTTGAGGCTTTTGGGAGGCGTTCGTTGATGGCGGCCTTATCCTCTTTGTGGCTCTTGAAAGTCTAAAGTTCGACCACGTCGCCTCCGTTAAGCGCCGGCCGTCACTTTGTCTTCCTTTGTTTCTTTGCTGCCTGTTCGGGATCTTCCCACCCCCTGAGAGCTGAGAGGGAAAAGACACAGCCTTGCTTTTCCACACGTCATCTGTCAGCAACTTTTGGTCGATTTTCAATTCAGACCCTTTACATTATTCACTCAGTCAATCGCACATACGTACTCATATGTACTCATAGACTGACTCTGTGAACGCCTAATCTGAGAGAGAACACGCCCTGGGAGGTGTGCGAGAGACAGACGAGGCGAGAGGGCCAAGTGAGGGATCGGTGAAGGTTGAAGACAGAATGGGCGCCGGCGATGGTCCCCGCGTCGGGGACCGCCCATTCAAGGACATGGACGACGACTATGACGCGTCGTCGCGCCGGAGCGCCGACGAGGAGGCACAGTTCCTAGCCGAAGGAGAAGAAGGCTACGAGCTCGAGGAGAGCACATCCAGCACGCCCTCGCTGCTCTCGCAGCAAAAGTTCGGCCCTCACGTCCCCCACAAGCGGCACTGCCTCGCCGGACCTCAACCGCCGCGCGTACATACCATCCGGCCCGTCCTGCCCGCTGTCCAGGAAGCGCCGCCGCGTCTGCTGGACCTCGTGGCGCCGACGCCGCGCCGAAAGGCCGTCGTCGTTGCCGTGTTCCTGGCGCTGTGGGCCGTCGCCTTCTCCATTCCACTCGCGTCGTCCCGGGCGATCAGGGATGGGCTCGGTAAGGATGTCATTAACCTGGACTGCGGCGACACCCTTTGGCGCTTCAAGAATGGGTGCGGGCTTGACGGTGCCGATTGCAGGCCCTTTACGAACTCTTCATTTTCTTTCAGGTGTCCGGCAAACTGCATGGCTCACAAGTTGTTGAACCCCCACGCCGTCGGTGACCGGGAGATCGTCTACCAGCCGCTGGTCGTAGGCGACGAGATCTACCGCGGCGACTCCATGATTTGCGCTTCAGCGATCCATGCAGGCATCGTGACGGACCTGAGCGGAGGCTGCGGCCGTCTTCATCGTGTCGGCCAGCACGCAAGGTTCAATAGCACGACTAAGAACGGCATCGAGACCGTTCCGTTTGACTCGTACTTCCCGCTGTCGTACAACCTCACTTCGGACCCGTCCCTTCAGTGCGGCAAGCGTGACCCCCGCCAGGCTCTTCTACCGACATCCATGTTCTTCACCTCCATCTTCTCCCTCTTCACGACGAGCCCGGCGTGGCAGTTCTTCGTCTCCTTTGTCGGCATCTTTGCCCATGTCAGCTTCGGCTCCGATCCGCCCACAGCATCGCGGCACGCTGCCTCCGTCCTGCCGGATCGTATCTCCAAGTTCACCGGCCGTCTGCTTCCTGCACTCTTCTGCGCCGCCGTGCTCTACCGACTCTGCGTCAGACGAACCCTCACAGATGTGAGGGCCCAGTTCGAGAAGACGGCGCTCTGGTTGGGAGGGTTCTGGTTCGGCGCGCTGTCGAACTATACATTTGGATGGATGCCGATCCAGCGCCTCACGGCACACGACATTGAGCACCAGCCTGGCGCCAAGCCCGCGCTGGCTCTCATCCTGATCATCCTGACCTTTGTGATGGCCAAGCAGGTCTACTTCTTCTGGCTCGAGGGGAGACTACCTCGGTTTCTTGCGCTCTATGCGCTTTTCCTGGCTGCCGTCATTGTCGGCGTCTCAATTCCGGGCGTGGACCTCCGCGTGCACCATTACATCATGGCATTCTGTCTGCTCCCTGGTACCAGCATGCAGACGCGGACGTCTCTGTTCTACCAGGGGATGCTGCTGGGCCTCTTCGTCAACGGCATCGCGCGATGGGGCTTCGACTCGGTTCTTCAGACGCCCGATGAGTTGCGCGAGGACGGCCCCTTCAACTCGCTGCTCCCGCAAATTGCGAAACCAATCTTCTCCACGGGCTCCTTTGAGCCCAGTGTGACCTTCAGCTGGCTCGTACCGCCAAATATCGCCAACGAGTTCGACGGTATCAGCGCTCTAGTCAACGACGTCGAGCGGTTCCGGTATTATTTTGCCGATGGCCCCGTCCACAACGAGTTTGTGTGGTTGAGGAAGGCCAAGATGGTGCTTCCCGAGTATTTTAGATTTGCGTACACGAAGGACGGTGTGACGCTAGACTATACACAGGCCGGGACCTGGTTCTCGAACGGGTCGTGGGTGATGCCTTCATAGTAGACTTTAGCATAACATTTGCATGACCGGATAGAATGGAAGGGGGCGTTTAATCGTGGCTACTTTGTTTATTGGGGAGCGACATGGATCCTACAAGATAATCAATCACATCTTAACAAGCATCTTCAAATTCTTGACATGAAGTCAATCGTTAAGAAAGCAAGGGTTCGTTGATACATATAAGCACCAGTGACATTGTCCTGCATGAAGATACTTTCAGCCCCTAGGTGCGAGCAGCCAACCAGTTTACCCCTCGATCTGAGTGCTACACTGCCCAATTGACTGCCTTGAGGGCCATCCCAAAACGATTTACGAGCGCCCGACGCGTACTGTTGAGCTGTTTCTCACGGTCTTTCTCTACTCCGTCCACCCATAACCCGCGCGGGATGATGGTGTCATTGAGCGCCCCACAAACGCTAATGTAACGCGTCGGCTCGAGTATCCTTCCCTGGTTCCCCGTCTCTAGTGACCGAAGCCGAAGAAAGTTCCAAGAAGCCGGCCGAGTGAGTTAGGTGTTCTCCAGACCCGCCGACCGGCTCCAACCGAACATAATCTTCAGAGAGCGAGAGTCTGACAATCTGGGAGGAATTAGGCTGCATTTTACTACTTAATGACTCACCGTCACGACATTCCTTCAAAGTGCACTTTCTTAACTTAAAACTGAACTCCAATCCTCTCATTCAAATTGACAGTACTCCCTGTATTCTTCCTACCGGGCTTTGACTAAGGATTCAAAAAGACAGTTCACCACTTTGATTGGGCGCGCAAGAGGTAGTGTCAGCACAATGTCAAGAGCCAAAGTCGAATTGATCCCTTGGGATCCCGAGTCCCCAGACCACGTCACAAGAATGACAGATCAGAGAATAGCATGCGGCTGGGCTTCGGATCTAGTGCCGCAATGGCAGGAGAACCAACGAACCGGATTCAAGTGCATCTACTGGCTTGTAAGTCTATGCTTTCACAAAGGGGGTGCTATTCGAGTTGCCAAACACAGCAATTTATTGAGACTGGCGCAACTCTCCTCCATCCCCATAATGAACGTCGTGTTCTATAGCAGTGCATCCACTAACCGCGCTCACAGGTACTTGCAGATGAGGATCCTGAGCGAGAAGCAAGGCTGGCAAAGCACATCGCCGAATACCCCAAAGTCAGTTCAATCCAATCCCATTAAACCTTCTCTCGTGCGTGCATCAATGCTCACATTCATCCCATAGGAGAAGAATTCCATTCTAGACACAGCAGCATCCATCAGCGCAACCCCGCGAACCCCAACAGGCGCGTCCTTCCACCCTGTCGGCCACATCTCTCTCGACATCGACAACCCCGCCGCGGCGCCCCTCAATCTTCCGATCCCCAAGGATAACGTCTACTGGATCAAGAGCCTTTACGTTTCATTCGCACTGCAGAGCTGCGGTATCGCCAGAGCCGCCATGGACTTGGTCGAGAGCATGGCCACCAGTGAGCCGCTCTGCGCAAGGACGCTCATGTTGGATACGGTCTCTAAGGAGGACCAGTTGAGAAAGGTGTCCATGGTTGTGGCGCAGGGAAAACTTCCGCCGGTGAGTTGACTCTGCTTCCTTTAACATCGTTGCGAGTTGTAGACGACTGACATAATGGTTTCACGTAGACGCCGACGCATGCATGGTATGAAAGGAGAGGATATAAACTGATCCACACCATCAACAACTTTTACGGGTTCCCGGAAAAGGATCCGGATGGCAACTTGCTCATTCGAAGAACGGTGTTCTTACGCAGAGATCTCGTCTAGCGTATTATTCTAGATAGGTACTCGGCGGGTACATGTGAATAGATCTAACTCCGGATACAAATGTCTATAACTTGCAGTAGTGAGCCTTTAGTCGGTCTTTTCGGTGTACCCAGGCGCCCCCTTCCCCTTCATCTGCATGATCGCCTGGCCTCCCGGCTGCCCGCCAATCACGCTCATCTTCATCATCTTCTCATAAAACGGCACAGACTTGTCCCAGCTATCGGTAGCCAACACGCTCTTCCTCAAATACGGCATCGGCTCGAGCACCTCCTGCACGCATCCCACGAGCCATCTTCCCAGGCCTTTGCCTTGGAGCGTGGGGTCAACCCACACGTCCGTGGTGTAGGCAAAGGATACAAAGTCGGTGACGACACGCGCGAAACCGATTAATTGATGGTACTCCTTCGTCTCGGTGCCGCTGCTGCCGCTGGATTCTTTTTGAGAAGTGGTGGTGTCGTAGAGGCCGAAGCAAAGTGAGTTTTCCAGCATTTCTCTCACGAAGGACTCTGGTATGGCTTTGGTCCAGTAGACGGCTTCCGACGCGAATGCAGCGTTGAGTTGGGTGACGGAGACGAGAGATGCATCTGTCGAGATGAGGTAAGAGTCTCTCGTCCAGCGGCGATCCCGCATTTCGGTGCTGGGTGAGGCCATGGTTGAGGCGTGTATATCGGAAAGATGTTATTGGCGGAGCGCGTGGGTAGATTGTGTAAATTGCTTGGAGTTGCGCCTTTCGAATGACAAGTCCCACAGTAGGGCATTCGTTATCTTTTGGAATTCCACGAAAGACGACGAATAAAGGATGGTATGAGTCGTGAAAACTCAGCTAGGCTGAGAGAAAACTGGCCATGTTATATGTGTATTTGCTATCTACAGAAGGAACTTTGGTACGTGACTCAACTCGGCTCTCGATCCGGCCCCCGGTATCGACGTTGGATGGGCCCCACATTGGCAGATGGTCTCGGTCAAACTGTAAGTACAAGCAAGCCGAGGCCGATGTGGAGAGGATTCAAGCCGGATCTCAGAAGCTAGTAGGCAATTAACTTTCAAAGAAAAGCTGAGGAATATTCTACTATTCGAATTTATCAAATCCTGTAACGAAATCGTAAAGATATCGCCGATGATCATAGGGCACAGCAGAAACCAATCCAGCGTATCGGGCGTATCTCAGATATAGTGTGCTTGAGAGCACGCCGTGGGTGCCAAGTGCTTCTGCCACTCAAACATAAGAGTGTTAAGCGTGACTCATCGGATTATACGAATACGAATGCGCGCTTCCAACTATAGGGGAAAAATACTTAAATAAGAAAGCACATTCCTCCAAGTGCCCAAATAGCAAGTGTGAATCGTCATACTTGATATCGTGACCGCCGTCGCCTCGGGTCATGAGTCCTGTCGCGGCTCCTCTCACGACTCCTCTCACGGCTCTTGCCACGGCTTCTATCTTCATAGACTACGTGCTCCTCTGGTGTCAGAAACTTGGTCTCATAATAAGCCTTCTGAAAATGCCACCACACTCGCCAGCCAATCACGATGGCGATGGTCAAGGGCAAGCTGACGGCCCAGTAGATCCAAAACTGTGGCACGACGGTGGGCTCGGCACCGCCGTCATCGCCGCTTGACGATGAAGCTTGCCAGTTGAAAAAGGACATGCTAAAAATTGTCTGTCGAGAAAACTGGTCAGCGATGCTTCGTGACTATGTGCCAGCAGTGCTAGGCACCTCAAGAGTCAAGACTAAAGGCAGTCCAACGACATGGTAAGACTTACGGCTACAAAGGTCGGAGGAAGAAAAACCATCGTCACCACTGCCATTGTCTTCATAGCTGTGCTGTCCATTCCGGCTTGCGCTGCGACTTGCCCGGCTTGTGTCGATTGCTGCATATTGAGGCTATTCCCGGCTTGGGCGATGAGATTGTAGAGCTGACGTGCGTCAAAGGTTAGCGATGATGGATGACTTCACTCTTGATCCTCACTGGTTCGATGTCTTTCAAAATTTCTTACCACGTTGAATTGAAGTTCCAGCCTGGACTGCATCCTGGTTGCATATGATGAGATAGACTGCGCATCTCGCTCCAGAAGGTCGATGAAGCCGCAGAGCTGCAGATCTGCCTCCAGGGGCGTATGCGCCTCGCGACGGTGAACCTTGACGTCGTCATTGACACGGCGGAGAAACTTGACGTACTCTTCGTCCCACTCGAGAGTCTCCTTCATATTGATTACATCAGTGGCCGTGGTGCTAATCCGTGCGGTCGTGTGAATCCTCGGCTTCTCGCCCAAGACCATAGCCTTCACTTCTTCCACAATGCGTTGATCCTGGACGGTTCTCCCGGAAAGCCGAGCTGTCTGGGTGACCCCGATAGCCTTTTCAATTTCCGCTGTCATGGAGCTCAGCTGCCTTCTCATGTCCTCTGCTCTGGTCAAATGCCGTCGGAGGAACAAGGTGGGGAGAAGTAGGGGATGAGACAGGAGTCTCCGTGATGACTTGAGTATCTCCTGAATAGCTTCAATGTGAGGTATAATCGGTTTCTTGGTAATTTTTAACTTGTTGGAGAAGATGTCCCAGCCGTGAATGAAGGCAAGAGTTGTGCGGGTCTCAAAATTGTGGGACATTGCCATGCCTAGATTCCCAAGCTGGAACATCTGAGGCTGCTTTATTGTTAGGACTGGAGCAGTACGTTATCAATTGATCACTCGCGTATACTGGAAATGTTCTTATATTGCCCGTACCTAATGCCTCGAGCGAGGTCGACGGCCGACCGCTCAAATTTTCTTTGAATTTCAGATGAGCGTGTTGGGTGCCTGCGTTCCCCTCCAATATCGGTAGAGACACAGATGGTAGCCCAATTACGTGTTCGACCGAAACAAAAGATTTACGGCTCATAGCGAACTCCAGAGGTCGAAATCCTAAACGTTCGCAGAGCAGTATACGGACTTGTGCCCTTGGACGGGACTGTCGACCTGCTGGTGAAAATTTGCCCCTTTGACGAAGCCAATCATCAACTTCGAAGTCTTCCAGAGGCCCAGCAAGAATGGGCACCTCTTCAAAATCGCCTTTTGAATAGTTTCTAATCAGCATGGTACTTGCTCTTCAGCGTGGCGCAAAGAGGAAGTTGAGATCATACCATCCTCCCACGCTTCCAAGTACGCGAGGTGTCCATCTCCTGGAGACCATTGTGACCGGTCTTTTCGCTCCAAAATCTCGCGACGCTCCGAGTCAAACATTTAAAATGACGAGAATGGGGCAATTGATGCACAGGTTAATGCAGCCTGACGTTCATCACGATTGAGGTCAGGACGGAGCCTGATGATAAACTTCAGTCGATGTTACATGTGCATGATGTGAGATTTTGGGACAGGTCTAGGTGCCCTGAATAACGTGCATAATCCCCTACTTCTGGTATCTCGTATCTGCAGAGAAACAATGTGTGCGCCCACGAAATAGATGAGACGATGCCATCACAACAACTTGATAGAATCATATAGACTCATATGCTGTTGGCACTAGACGGAGCTGAAGCTGCGGATAAGCGTCTAATAGTCCATGTCTCTCTACGCATTGCCGCACACTGTAAGGATGTATTGAGTGCTTAGCATTGCATGTTGCTCCACCTTAGTTTGTTGCTCCATCGAACCGACAAGGTGGGAACATAAATCCTTCCTCATATCACGCGAGGAAATGCTCTACCGGCAATATCAGCACGCAAGAATGCCATGACTCTGTCATGACCGGAAGGTGGGGGATTTAACACTGACTACAGAGGCGATCCCCAACTCCCCATAAGCTTCTTAACTAACTTTTGCCTAGGGGATCAGCCAACTCCAAGGAATATTCCCCCTCGGCCCCCTCCTAGCGGTCACAGGCGGCCCAATGACCACATCCAAGCAGAAATTCAGGCTAAATGCATCGTGGAATTGCCGTCGATGAGCGCCCCGAACCCCTGTACCGTCGTACTACCGTGCGGAGAAACGCGGGGTGCGGAGGCCCTGGAGGCTTTTCACCCGAAATTGGACCCCATGGTTCGGTGATTCCCCATCAACAATAGTCAAGGAAAGCCGAGGGACGATGGACCGGTGCGAGGGTTTCGCGGTCTCTTCGTGGAGTCTTTTAGGAATCCGTCGCCGAATAATGGGGCGGAAATACGTCAAGGAAAAGTTTCCTAGCTTGGCCGATGGGATACAAACGTTGAAGACCACATCATGACCCGCCATATAAGACTCCAAGGTAAGGCGCGTCATGGTCGTATCGTAAGGTCACAGTCACTTCAAAATCACCTCTCAAGATGATGACGACTTCACGACGGTCCTCGTTGCCGACGCGAGCCTTCGGGCTGACTCTCTTGAGCCTGCTGCTGCTCATCCTCAGCCCCGCGAATGCCCTCACCATCCAGCCGCGACAGAACTCGTCCACGCCGACCATTGGCGGACGCGAGCGCGTGAGCATCAACAAGGGATGGCGCTTCTGGCGCTCAGAGTTCAACCCGGACGGCCTCATCTACGATCAGCGCCCGGACCTCGTGAACTTGACCGACACCTTTGCGCTCAAGCCGTGGATCCTGCCGTCTGCCAACGACTTCATCAACGACCCGGCTAAGCACTACGAGCGCCCCGGTAGCGAGCCCTCGCGCAATGTCTCGTATGCATCAGCGAGCTTTGACGACGCTTCGTGGGAGAGTGTCAATCTGCCTCACGATTGGGCTATCGCAGGCCCGTTCTATACCGAGGAGAATCCCATCATTGGTGGTGGAATGGGCCGCTTGCCTGTGCATGGCGTGGGTTGGTACCGTCGATCATTGACGGTCACCCCTGAGGATGAGGGCAAGTCCATCTTCCTCGATGTGGATGGAGCCATGTCCTACGCGATGGTGTGGCTCAATGGCTACCTGATCGGTGGCTGGCCTTATCCGTACAACTCGTTCCGCCTCGATCTCACGGCGCACCTCAAGACTGGACAAGACAACGTTCTCGCCATCCGACTGGACAACCCTCCAGACTCGGCACGTTGGTACCCTGGAGGTGGCATCTACCGCAACGTGTGGTTGACAAAGGTCAGCCCGGTCCACGTCGCGCAATGGGGAACCTACATCGTCACAAAGGACGTCTCCTCCGAGTCTGCTACCGTGGATTTGGTAGTTGATGTCGAGAACAAGGGCGATTCCGACCAGGATGTCGAAGTCTCCACCGAAATCCACCTCCTCGACGCTTCGACAGACAAGCCGGGAGCCAAGGTAGCCGAGTTCTCCAGCTCATCAACCTCTGTCACGGCTGGCAGCAAAGCACAAGTCAATGGCTCAACGACCGTCACATCCCCCCTTCTCTGGGGCCCACCACCGACCCAGAAACCGAACCGCTACGTCGCCGTCACGACAGTCACCGTCGCCGGCGCCGTCGTCGATACCTACGAAACTCGCTTCGGCATCCGCACCGTAACCTACGACGCGAACCGCGGCCTCCTCGTCAACGGCGAACACGTCCTCATCCAGGGCGTGAACAACCACCACGACCTCGGCGCCATCGGCGCAGCCTTCAACACCCGTGCCGCCGAGCGCCAGCTCGAGGTCCTCGAGGAACTCGGCTGCAACGCCATTCGCATGTCTCACAACCCTCCCGCGCCCGAACTGCTCGAATTGACAGACAGTCGCGGGTTCCTGGTCAT